TTTATGCTGACTCAAAGTTTGTGATAAACAGTGGGTATTGTATTACAGCTGATGAAACTTTGATTTGCTCGTTATCAGCCTTTTCAACTTTACGAAAAAGGAAATTTTGCTTACTTGGAGAAAAGATCTGAGTGAATTTTAAATATCTCCAATTTTACCGGTAGTCGATCGCCTCTCGAGAGGCTAATTTTGACAACTTCGTTTGAAACAATTTCAACCAAATGGCCACAAGATCGACCGATTCCAGACCTCTGGTGGAGATGGACTCATCAGCGGAGGAACTCGAAGGAGATGCAAATACACAGGGAAACTTATGGACTGGTAACGCAAAATCTCTCTTTGACGATAGCGAAGAGCCGTCGGAATCTGCGGAAAAACAACCACTGTCCTTGAAACGTCGGATCGTCTTGGTAGGCGCATTGTTGCTATGTGTGTTTACTATATTCGCCTTTGCTTTTCTTCTTCCTTGTCATAAACCAAAATGTCAGAAGCTCCCAGTCTGTCCTGGCAAGGGGCAACTGACAGCAGTGAACTGGACTCACCAATTTGGTGGTATTATTCCTGTTGTGACTTCCTTGGTTGATGTGACAGGAGATGGTAGGCCAGACGTTATAGTTGAATTTGACATAAAAGCGATGGAGTCAACAAATTCTTCATTCTTGAGCCAACTTTGTAATTACAAAGATTGTCACGGCAGTGGTCTTTTGGCCCTGCATGGATCGTGTGGTAATAGTCTGTGGGTTTTCAGTCGCAATTCCTCCCTTGGACTTTTGGCTTGTGAAAAGGCCACAGAGGGCATTGATGAAAAAAACAACCAACATTGTTTGTTCGTTGAAGAAAAAGTAAATCTTGTTTTTTTCAACCCAGAGAATGGAACCACCAAGTGGAAATCATCATTTAGTGGTAAAGTTGGTTCAATTAAATTTGTCAGTGATGTTGATGGTGATGGTGAAAAAGACATTGTTTTCGTCAGTGACCTTCCCATGGGTAACAGTAAAGGTTATATCAATTTGGTATCTGGAAAACTAGGGAAACTTCTTGGCAACCCTGTACCATTGCCTGGAGGTCACAATATCAGTAATATCCTTGCTGCTCACACTCTCCCGAGTAAACAACAGTTTGTTATTGTTGGTACATTAGCACACAAGACAAATACAACATCACTTTGGGCGATGTCAGTTCACGATTTGTTTGAGAAAGTAACCCAGCCAACAAAATCAATTCCAGGAGAAGCGTGGGGAAAACATGTACCAGACCCACACACTGGTTTCATCAGCATTCTTAAAGATGCTGTTTTCCTAATCCAGCCGTTGTTGACAGATTTGGATGGTAATGGGGTGAAAGATGTTGTTTTTGTAATCAGGGAGAATGGTACTTCTCTTCTGGCCATGAATGGCACTGATTTGGCTGTTGTGTGGAGAATGGTAGTACCTTCTGATGCAGTTATTCACAAGTAAGTGTTCCAATTTTGTTACTCAACTATTGCATAGAATTATTATAGCCTGACATATTGTTTAATTAATATGGTTAAAAACAATCCTGTTTCCATATGATTAGAAAGTGACCATTGTGTTTTGTTTTTTTGTATTGGCTTAAAAGTAACAGAATTACCCTTTTTGAAATTTGTTTCTAGAAACTCAAAGTCTGCTCCAAAATTACCTCTCCTTGTGCTTGCAAGCTGATCACAGCTGCAGTATATATGGTCATCGCAAATCCTTGTTTTAAATTTTGCCACCAATGAAGTGTTGCAAGTGAGCTGGTTCATTATTGTGGTCTTCTTTAGGTTACCCCCCCCCCCTCCCCCCCTTTAGGAGTTTGACAGGGTTATAGTGCAGTTAGATTGTAATTATTTAAAGCCATTGTCCGCAGGACTGCAAGAATAAAGTATCCTTTCCAAGATTTCAACTCAGTGACCCTTTCCAGGGTTTGAACCTGAACATTTCAAACTTAAGTACAGCATGCTTATTGTTTGATTATCATACCAGAAATGCGAAATACAAGTTTTTTTTTCTTTTTCATGCCAGGTTGTTTTCAACTCCGCACTCTGTTAAAGAAAATGTGACAGATATTGGGTTGTTTGTTGCTCACACAAACAGTTCCTCCTCACTGCTAGTCATTGATGGTCGCACAGGGCAGATAAGTTGGTCTTTTCATAGCAGGACTGGTCTTGCTGTGGCACCAGTCCCTGTACCAGGACTTAGTGGTACCCAACAGGCTTTTGTGATCTGGATGCCAAAGCCTGAGGCTGTGACACTGATTTCTAAATCCAGAAAATCCAGAGACATTTCACATCAAGTGAATAATTGGAATTCTGGTGATGTCAGTCTAATGATGAATGATAAATATGCAAGACCACAACCAAGAAAGTTGTTTTCAGTTAGTTCAGATTTAATTGAGAAAAACAAATTTGATAGGTTATTTACAAAAGCAGCTCCTATATCTCCAGAAGAGATAGGTAATGACTTTGGTGATGATTCTAGTTTTCATAACCAGGAGGACTTCAGCAAAGTTAACAGTGATGACATGGCCCTAAAGGAATTTGAACTTTATCTTTTAGAGAACATTTTAAAGAAAATTGATAATCCCAGTTTTGCTGCAAAAAAGCCTCTCAGGTCAATGAAAGAAGAGGAAAGAGCTGACAGAAAATGGCTTGGAGCAAGGAAAGAGAAGCCTTCTGTTTTACATCAGGGGGGTTTCCAGGAGCATGCAATTCCATTTACAAAGGACACAAGGCATAAAGGTGTCAGTGGAGAGGAGAATATTGAAGTCAAGGCAGATCCACATGTGCGCAATGATCTGGAAGAGCAACTGAGTGATTTGACCAATCATAGGAAAGAGGAGGCTGTATTTGACAATAAAAAGGAGAGGGCACTCCTTGCATCAGCATCAAAAGATTCCTCATCCCTGCAATCCAGGCAAGAAATTCTCAAGGACTTCCCTGGAAAGCAGTCCAGGATGGAAAACCAAGACATTGAGGTAAAAATTTTGCCAGGGAAATCCACTGTCACTCAGAAATTACATGCAGAATATCAAAGAAAAGAAGATTCAAAGTTGGAAGCAGTTGAAAAGCCATCCTATCATAAGCGATCAGTGACATCCTTACCAAGAGGATCCAAGTGTGCCAAACATTTTGGTGACATTGCAGATGCTTATGTGGCTGTTCTCTTGGTGAAGACTGTTGATGGAAGACAGCTGTTGGCTGGCATAACAGAGGAAGATCCTCTATATTTGGGTAAGAGCTGGGTCAGAGGTTAGGGAGGGGGGGGGCATGGGGTGGAAGACTACTTCCTTTTCATTAAAACCACACCTAAAGGAATTTCTGGAGGTTAAACATTTTTTTAATACTTTCATTGTTTCACTTGTTAAAGATAATTGTTGAAGGAAGAATTTCACAGCTAAATAGAGATGATGCTGCTGGAGTAAGGAGCTTGTGGTTCATATAGTTTGCCCTTTGGCCACATTTCTAACACATCTACACCCCCTACATATCAATAGAACCTTGTTTTTTGACAAGACAACAAACTTTTAACTAGATAATGATTTAAAAATAAGAGTTATTTTCATTACAAATGTGATTTTTATCCCTGTCACTTTTTAGATCAATCACCTTTATGGCCAATTTACATGCCAAGATGGTGGTTGGCAAACTGGTTATGGCCTTTGAGTTATTTTACTTCTTGAGACTTTTAACCTCTCCTCCATGCCCTACCCCTCCCCTCTCCTTCCTTTGGACCATTTATTAAAATCAAAGGTGGCAGCTAAGATATTCACCCAGAATACTGAACTTTGTTCATCAAAGTCATGCCTGCTCTACATGCTAAGAATGTTTCTTAATGATGAAACAGTCAAACGAGATTTGTGTAATTTTGTTATTTACTTAAAAAAGGGGTATGAACTAATAAAACTGATTGATGACTCTGAGACAATAATTGACCTATATACACAAGGTTGATATTTACAATTGGCAGGTGTGAGCCCTATGCATGACTGATTTGCCAAGAACACTAGTCTGATAACATTAATTGTGGGTTCTAAATGTTCTTTTTCAGGTCCTGATGACTACAAAAGCTTGTTTAAGACCAGGGCAGGTGATAAGAAAGCCAATCCTTGTTTTCGGTTGGTTCCTCACATTGTTTCGCAGCCTCTGATTAGAGATTCTGATGAAGGCTTGGATCTAGTGTATACAGTCAGCTTTGTTTCTAAAGGTCACTCGTTACATGTGACAGAAATAAGAAAAATGCCAATGGAGGCTGTCTTTGAACTTCTTGAAGGTGTTTCAAAAGATACCAGGCAGCATCAAACTAAAAGAGGGATGGATTCTTTCAATTTTCCAAGAGTTTGGAAATAATTTACTCCCCAATTCAAGAGCTTTGCTTTCAATGAATTGTAAAAATAGACTGCAAGATACATTCAGTAATTATGGTATGATAAAGATATTATGTTCATTTATATTTTTTTTCATGATAACAGTGGACATTGCTTTGTTCATTGGAGTTTCCTATTATTTTGATATTAGAAAATTTGAAATATTTAGCTCATGACAACAGAAGGAAGTATGTAATAACTATACGTTTATGTTATAGAATGGAATTCAGATTGAAGTCAATTCAAACAAGTTTAAACTGTATTTTTCACTGTCTCAGGATTATGATTATTAACTGTATATGGAGTAAAATGAATAAAAAGTTTACAATCATTTTGATCTAGGTTCATTTTAAACAATTACTACAACAAAAAGGTAACCAGATCCTTCATTACATGTTCAGAAGCCTCTCTGAACTGAGTTTTGCTCCACTAAAAGGATCACATGGCATGCCACTTCTGGCAGGCCATGTATGGAATACCTACCCCATAGAGGGTATTCATTAAGAGATGTAGTTCCAGAGGTGCAGTGTAAAGTAACAAGAGCCATGTCTGAATATAAACTAGCTCAGGCTATTGAACATCAGGCAGAGAATTCTCTCCTTCGTCTTCCAAACTATCGAAAAAGCACAAATTGATAGAAACAATTTTGGGAAGAGACATGCATGGGTGACTAATGTATGGAGGGAGACAAGACTCAGGCTAAATTGTTAGAACACCAAATTCTTGATAATCAATAATGGATTGAAGACATAGGAGGGTGACTGTGTTGAGGCCAGTTTTCTGTCTCTTGACAAGACTCTACTCTTACCAGTCTGACTATTCAAACAAAGTTTAGCCATTGCTTGACAAAATTGTGTCCTGTACACCCCTCGATTTAGCTTAACCTTTTTATCTGAACATTAATTTTTGTGAATAGCATTGAAAGGGCCATAGCTAATGGTGAAAGGACATTTATTTTATTAAACCAACCCTCTTAGAGAAAAAGCCTGGGGCCCACTGATTGCATAAAACTGTGGTTTGGGTTGGACCTTGTGTAAATAACAGGCCCACAGTGTCTGCCTCACCCTGGAGGATGAACAGGTAGCTGCAAGCTTTTAGAGAAACTGAACTAAATTCTAGAAGGGTAGTTATCTCACTGTTGTAGATATGAAATGAATAGCACTTAAAATGGAAATTCAACTTTATTTACACTGGTAAAAATAGATAAGCCACAATGCAAACAGATTTCAAGGGGGACTAAAAGATAGATATTCTTGAGAGTAACCCATCTCGTTACATCTTTTCTTTCTTTTTTTTTTTTTTTTTTTTTAATAAATTGCTTATTGAGCTTCACATATCCTTTAGCCCAATGTACAACCTCTATCACTGAAGGTCTGAATGATTTTAATGGCACTTGCGCACAATGATATCCGTTACTGAAAAATCCCCCCCCCCCCCACCTTTTATTGCACACAATTTTCATGAATCTTTGAACCTTTCTTGTTTTTTTCATTGGATTTTTCATTTCAATTGAGTGTTTTTGAAATACTTTCTGATTAAAATTCAAAATTTAAAAGTCTGCGAGTTGAAAGCAAAGCTTGGGAGTTCAACTTAGTGTTGTGATACATACCAAGTACATGCATAAGGCTTATTTTAAATTTACCAGGCACCCAATATGTTTTCAGCAACCCAAGATGCATCCTTGATGCATCAAGATACAGTCAACCCTTCACCCTCAAGATCTCATTGGAAATTCTCCTTACTGTCTTCCATACAGGTCTTATAAATCATATTAGTTCTGAGAATGTGGTTTTGGATCAACTTGTAATTCCCCAATTGCTATTTTTCCTTTTTTCATAACATGTCTGTTTGATACTTTAGGGATATTGTAAGGAGAAATTCTGTCTTGGTCACTCTTGGGAGTTGAAAGGACTGAGAAGTAACAATGTTATTCCAATCTCACATCTCCAAAACAATGCTTAACACAAATAAATTGAAGTCACTCTGAAATACACCCAAAAATTTCTGTCTTAGTTAGTGGCATGACTCCCATGTAGACATTTTCCTCTACTTAGAGACCTTCTTGAAAAAAAGCATTGTGATATGTATGCTGTGTGATCTCCACTCTTTGAATGCTGTGTTTTAGTTGGCATGGCAATGTCACAATTTATATATGATTTAAACACCATGATAATAAATAAATGTCAATCACCCACTGCCCCACAAGATCACATGGTAAATATTTGACCTCTTGAAAACTGAGTGCAACCCTGAACATCTCATATACCTCATCATGATCTTTGTGAAAACACTTTAAGCCATAATAATATTGTTACTATCAAAATGCCCCAGCACATTAACCACAATACCAGTTATAAATCTTCCAGCTGCAATAAACCAAGGCACAACCTGCCACCACATTGTGAAGTCTTTTACGGTATTTGTCATCCTTTCTTACCAGCACGATTGGAGATGAAGATGTTAGACTACTAAGTGGTAGCTTTGCCAACTTTCTAGTGTCATATTCTACTTGATACTGGCAGCAAGGATCAAACTGCCATGATACACCATACAATGCTGCACAAAAAATGCTCACTCCACCAAATACATAACAGGAAGGCTCTTTGACAATTCTGGGAAGCACCCATGGACTAATGAAACAACTAAGTCCACTAATAACAGCTGTTTTGTGTAAACAGTTCCCAACTTGGATCCAGCGTGCTGTTTCTTCGCCAATCATTGTTGGTTCAATAACAATCATGCCACACTGTGATTCCAAGGCTCTCTCCAAATCTGCCTCAAACTGTTCACGTGCATCCTCAGAATCATAGATTTCATGAATGATGACACACCCTCCTTCCACCATATCATCACTACATGTGAGAAGAGAAGAACAATTTTTTACCTCTGGTGTCTCATTTAATATTAAAAAAAATATCTGTCAATTATTTCAGAAATGAAGTTTTGGAGAGGCATTTTCTTAACTGACTTGCTTTCCTGTAACATTCAAGATTAACAAGTTGGGAAATCTAAAATGCTCTTAAATTATGCATGCCACTCAAACAGATTTGTTGTTTATCTAGGCTATTTTCTGTTTGTTATATTGTTTACATTTTTATCAATATCTCCTTTGGGCAAAAAGTTTCTTTGTTTACACGTGCCTTCTCTCATAATGACCACAAGCATTGTAGGTGGTGGAAAACACCGTTTGAAGCTATCATTAAAAGATAATCCAAAACATACAGTGACATCTGTTGGGTAAGAAGTTTATCACATATTTTTAAAACTTTGAATGTTTACATATTAGATACTACTGTCAAATATCTGCTATTTTGATAATACTAGATATCGTTCTACTTACTTGATATTAAATTCTGTCGAACGAACTTAATATTTAATTCTGTTGATTACAGGTCAAAGTACACACGAAAGACGTACATGTACAGTTTCAAGAATTTTTGCAATTATCAAGGAGAACGCAGGAGGAATTTGTAGAAAACTTTACAGGGAATAAAGAAAGAGACATGTTGTTTTACCAACAGATGTTCACCAAAATCGATACAGAAATTAAATTTGTAACGTTGGCAGTTACAAACTACAAAATGACATATAATTACCTCGTTGGACGATCAGTTTAAATATCGCAAATGAACGATCTTAAGATTTACTCTAACTTTGCTAGCTGCCTAACGTGGAACTTCGCTTGCATTTGTAAGAGATCTAGCCCTCAGAGAATCTAAAAGCACCTGCGAAAGAGAAAATTATCAGACAACGGCAAAATATATTACCTCATCTCGTCCGCCATGTTAATTGGTGTAAAACCTGGGACACGTTCCAAGTATTGACGAGAGTTCCTGGGTAGGAGAAACCATATCGAGGCCAGATATTTAAAGTAAATGACGTCATTGTTTCAAAGGGATTCCAAGATGGCTTCCCTGTTTGGACCGAACCCTTTCTCAACACCAGTAGGACAAAGAATAGGTATTTCTCAAGCTAGAAGTTACTAATTTTGGAAATTTTTGAAATCTTACACTCCTTTCCTTTGACAGAGATAACTTTATTGTCCACCTAGTGCATTAATTGACACTTAAGCTGGATCAAATTCTTCGATCATACCTTTAGTGATCGAGCCTGTAACTTCATGTGACGTATAAATTTTCAGAAAAAGCTACCGATGGGAACTTGCCATCCGAAGACTGGGCTGCGAATATTGAAATTTGTGACATAATCAATGAGACCGAGGACGGGTACGTTTAGTCTTATCAAGAAATGCTTCTGTTCTCAGCTGTTAAGTTGCATCCTCAGAGTCTTAAATTTATAATTTTCTAACTTTAAAATTCTTGTGACCGTCATCCCTTCGAATCGCATTTGTGCATACAAGCTTAGTATTCTGTATTTCTGTGATGATTATTTCAATTTTAGATCTTAATTTATGAATGTTTTTCATTCAACTAGCCCTAAAGATGCTGCTAAAGCCATCCGGAAGAGACTGGCTGGAAATAAAAACTTTAAAAGTGTTCTCCTGACTTTGACGGTGAGTGATCTCTAAGTGACTGAAATTTTGGAAGATACGTATGCAGTTACCTCTGTAAAACTAGCATTTATGAATCAAATGTTTTTTCTCATTGAGATATGTTTATGTTAAAGGAATTTCATGAACACTTAAAAAAAGTGTCTTGGCTGTTTGGTTTATTGTGATTTCCCTCTACATTCAAAGTAGGTGCTTTAACCCAATTCTGAGAAATGAGTTACCGGGAAATAATTTCTCCTTACAATATCAATACAATATCAACCAGACAAGTCATGAGAATAAAGAAAAATATCAATAAGTTGATTCAATATCAAATTCTCCAAACTGACATCGAAAGAATTGCATAGCAGATAGTAAGGAGAATTATTAATAAGTTCTCAAGAGTGAAAGGGTTAGTGTGACTTTGATATTCATTTCGGTTTCTGTATTTTATGTAACTAATTTATTTAACATGTTTGATAATTAAAGTACTCAAGCTCTTGTACTTATCTATTCAATTTTGTTCCTTTCAGCCAAAACCCTAAGTTTTTCTCTGTTATAAATCTTTTCCAGGTACTTGAGACTTGTGTTAAAAATTGTGGTCATAGATTCCATCTGCTTATTGCAAAAAAGGATTTCCTTGATGAACTTGTAAAAATTTTAAGTCCTAAGGTAAGTCCTTGGGTTGGATCAATCAGTTTGAAGTATACCTGTGTTAACTGAATTCAAAGTATTCCAAATTCCCAGTCCCGTAGCCTTTTAAACCTAAGAGTGACCAGCATCTAATTTCTCCTCACAGTAATACTGCTGTGTTATTCATTAAGATCATGAGAATAAAGGAAATGATCTCCAACCTAAGAAGCTCTGTTTGTTGAGCAAATTCTCCTTGCCAGCACCTCAAGAAATGTACAGAGAGCATTAGGGAGAATTTGTACATTGATGTAAAGGTGTAAAGGATTATTAACATCTCTTTCCTTCATAAATATTTAGACTAATCCACCTCAGATTGTCCAGGATAAGATACTCTCTCTTATCCAAGACTGGGCGGATGCCTTCCGAGAATCTCCTGAACTGACTAATGTGATGGAGACTTATGAATCTCTCAGAGCTCAAGGTTTGATAACATTGTTCAATTTTACCTTTAAAAATTAAACAACACCAAATAAAATTGCTAGCAAGCTTCTGGCCTTAATAAAAGCTGCCATTTTTTATGGGTGCAATGCTCAAGTTTGTTTTTAAATTTGTGAGCAGGAAAAATGAGAAATGAATTCCAAGGGAATTACTGTAGTGACATTTAAGCAACCTAGATCTATAAATGATGACTGTCCCCCATCTTCTTGCTTAAGAGTAAATGTTTAATAGGCCAGAATTCAGCAATGGGGTCTACTGCTCCTAGTATGTTCTTTGAAAGTTAACTGTGCCGTAGTTTCTTTGATGCCCTACTCTGTGTAGTATAGTTAGTTGAACTTAAGGCTGAAGAATTAAAATCACCCCCCAGAAATCAGAAACATTTACCTATGTAGTCAGATTTTGTTGTCAGTACTTTTCTTTGCAACTGTAGGTTTGGAGTTTCCAGCCAAAAATCTAGACACCTTGTCTCCTATCTACACACCACAAAGGGTAAGACACAACATTATTATCATGAGTTCATGGAATTTATGTATTACTGGGAAAGTTTTAGTGAAAGTGCAGTTCCTTGAATTGGATGAAAGTGTTTATGGTAAAGGGCATAGGCAATTTCATTGCCTGCTATCCCAGTGTTAGTAAAACTGGTGGCAAGTTACAAATTGTGTACAATGTTGAAATTCTGAACTGTAGGGTTAAGCTGCTTTTAAAATAAGAATGCAATGGGCAAGCCATAATTTTTTTCTACTGAAAAAACCTCTGCTGTGATATTTGTTAACCCTTGAAATCCCAAGATCTCATTAGTGATTCTCCTTACTGTCTGCCATACAGTTCTTGTGATATTAGTTTGGAGAATTTAGTATTGGATCAACCTATAATTCCCTAACTGATATTTTCTATATTCTCATCACTTGTCTGCTTGACATTGTATCGACATTGTAAGGAGAAATTCTGTCACCATCACTTATGGGAGGTAAAGGGTTAAGACCAACAAAACCCAATGGAAACCCAGACTCAAAAGATGGATTATGAGCACATGCAATACCAATCTTTCAATTTCTAGATTCTAGTTCATTTATAGGGCACAAGATTTTCCAGGTACTCCCTCATTTATATAATACAGAATGAAACAACATTTATTCACACCATTTCAGACTCAACCAGAACGACCAGCCCCAGCGCCATCAAGGCTGCCTCCCAGTCAGGTAATTTTTTTTGTTTCACTTTTCTTTGCATTTTTAAGGGGGGATCAATGTAGTTTAGAGACACTTTGGCCCAGTGTTTAGGATGCAAAATCTGTCTCAAGATGATAATTCAAGTTTTTGCTAGGTCATTTGGTAGGAGTTTTAATAACTTTTTCCCTAAGCAGCTGCTGATGGTGAAATAGGCAGCTGTGTCCAGAAATGGGGCTGCTAGGGAAATCTTAATGCAAGAGCCTGTTCTTAGACATAACACTTTAGTCTCACAATGCCTCTCTTCACTCAGGATTACAACTAGGCTGAAGCAAACCCTCTAGTGTATGTTGATAAACTGCACAGGGGTCACATGTATCCACTACGGACAGTTAAGCATCTCATTAAGGAGGAACAGGGATACTCCAAGTCTTTTTGTGTTAATGAAACTGGGCTAAGTGTCTCTCTTAAACTTAACATACAGGGCAGGATTGTTCAACCCCTCTCTTCTCTTCCACCCTTAGTGCAAATCTATAATTAATATGATATTCATGATAAAGGGAGTTGTGCTTTTCATTTCAAGTCAATATGGTGCACCATATTTTTTTCATAAACTTTACATCAATTAGTCACTCTGCCTTTCAGCCTCCTGTGCCACAGCCAGTCCAATCTATGCGTCCAATGCAAGCACCCAGCGGTCCTGTGGTTCCCACACCTGAGCAGCTTGGAAAAATACGCTCAGAAATTGACATTGTGAATGGAAATATAAATGTTATGTCAGAAATGTTAACAGAAATGACACCTGGACAGGAAGAAGCAGGAGATTTGCAGCTCTTACAAGTAAATCTTTAAAATGTGTATTTAAAAATAACCTAGGTGTACTAGGTGTGCTTTTTGATCAAAAAAATTGATCAGAAATCTCTTGTGTAATGGACAGAAATTCCTCAAGCTTGATGCAGATTAATCTGTTGGAAAAAGAAAGGTAAAAGAACGCAAATCTTCCTGGAAGCCATTCAGTTTCATGTTTTGGTATCTGTTGTTTTGACAGGAATTGAACAGAACTTGTCGTGCCATGCAGCAGCGAGTTCTGGAGCTGATTGAGAGAGTAGCAAATGAAGAAGTAGTTGGTAAGAATATCTGAGTTTTATCCCTCTGACCCCTGAGAGTAACTAATATCTAACTTCTTACAATGTCACCCCTGAGTCACACATTCAGGTCAAGGAAACAATGAAAATAATAACCAACTAAAGAAGTTCATGATTCTTAAACAAATTCTCCTTGTCAGAACCTTAGGAAATGTATAGAGAACTGATACTAGATAGAGAATGCATACTGATATTAGGGGGTAAAGGGTCAAATTAAAAAATGCAATTCAGGGATAAAACGACCATTTATATAGGCCTAACTTCTTGGTTCAAAGGTAAGTGCTTAGAGCCAAACCAGATCATCATTTTTTTTGCTGCTCAGGAAGATAACCTTCACAGCCTTGTCATTTCAGTCCTCACCTCCCAGCTGTTATTAACAGCAGTGTCATTGTATTTGATCAAATTTTTAAGGAACAATTTTGCTCTCTTCTACCTTTCACCTAGGCAGCCATGCAAAAAAATTTTATGCAACAGGAAAGATATGAGGAATGTTTTAATACTCCTTTTGCATTGTGCCTGGAAGACTTTTAAAGCTACGAAACAATATTGTTTAAAAGTATAAAAGCAGCATTTGAAAGAACATAATCAAAGGGTCTGTTTATTGCAAAAATTTTCAATGACATGCATCTTTCTGCATTAGGTATGCTTTTGAGTGTTAATGATGATCTCAACAATGTGTTTATTCGATACGACCGGTATGAGAGGTTTCGACAAGCAGTACATCAGCAGAGTCAGCCGTCAGAAGCTCCCCCTACACCCCCAAGACCTGCTCCTGTGGAACCTTTACCAGTTCAGACTGGTAGAACAACAACAGCCTGGCCAGAAAATTCACACAGAGTAAGGACTGATTTCTTTGCAGATCTTCTGTAAAACCTATAAAACCTCTCTGGATTATCATCCAGGCAGTGCTAGTGAAATGACTGAGCATCATGGATCTAATGAACACAATGAATGGTAGGGGTGGGAAGAAGATTCCTCCCAGTCCGACAAACATTGAAAGTTTGACTATCTTTCTCTCCCCTTCCCTCACGTAAAATTTCACGTTCTTTCAAATGAGCCTTAGAGGACGTTTATCTTTCAGGGAAACATTGCAGTTTTGATTGTTGTCTCAAGGTAAAATTTTTTATTTTTACATATAGTTGCCAGGTACAATTGAACCATCTCAACCGCAACCTCCAGTAGCGGTGCCAGCTTCAGCAGCGCTGGCACCAGCTTCAGCAGCGCTGGCACCAGCTTCAGCAGCGCCGGCACCAGCTGGGTAAGGCGTCATATATACATTTTCTCCGAGAGACATGTAGTATAGAATTGGAAGCTCAGATCGGATCACCTTTGTTTTGTTCTTTGGTGAGACCCTGGGCTCTGAAGTACATGCTGATATTTACTTAATTATTTTTCCTTATTTCTTGTCTCTCAGGGGTGACTCGCTGATTAGTTTTGATGATGACGTATCCACTCCTTCCCAGGCTGCCTCGGTCAATGGCATGACCTCTCAGGTGCAAGCCATGAGTAAGTCTTGACTCTGGCTTTGCTGCGTTTTAGGAGCTCATCTTATTATTGTTTTAAGGCGTTACTGCTATATTTGATGACATGTGACCAAGTCTGTTCCCAGTTAATCAGCGAGGGTTTTTTTTTTATAGAAACATTACCTTTCAATAAAGGGAAACCATAAATGGGTGGGAAAAGATCAAGGGACCGTAAAGAAGCTACAAAGGAATGATGGTTGTTTGTTAAGAATAGAGAAGATAAACACGGACTTCAAATATAGCAGTTTTCAATCGAGTGACAAAAAAACTAAACCTAAAGTAATCACAACGGCCAATCAGAGCAAAGCTTAAAATCATGATTAACCAATGGGAACTCAAAGAAAAAACAAGCAACCTGCTTGAAGCGCGGGAAAACGCAAGTGACCAGGATGGGGTTGGTTTTAGTCTTGCATTTGATTGGCTGAGATGGTGGCGCGAGAACGAGGTAGAGCAAAACCAAAGAAATCCCGGATCACTTTCGATGCGCAATTAAAAGCTGCTAACTTGTTTCAATGGACGAGCCGTAAAGTAGGTCCTTTCATCTTACTTTGTTCTGTGTGTATGTAGATATAGGAACCACTTCTGCTGACCAGGAGGATGAAGAATTTGACATGTTTGCTCAATCAAGGAAAACTACTTTTGACGAGAGCAGGAAAGGGTGAGTTTCTCGGTTTTTCCCATATTCTGTGAAGGAAATGAAACCCTCCGGAAGGAAGCCAAGGAGTTCATCATATTCTCATCGGTTTTTTTTCTCTTTTTTTACAATTCCGAGCTATTCCTTGAAACTTCATTCCTGGGAGATCAGATTCCTTGAGTGTAAAATTACTCTCAGAGTAATTTCGTGATCCTGTCTCTTAGATTAACTCTCTCCTAAGCTGACCTAGTCTTTTCAGTAATAACATATTGCATTAACGATGACAAATCGTTGTCGCGAGTTTTTTATTTTTATGTCGAATGATTTTCCTTGTTTTCCAGCGGATCCTCGTACACGGACAACCTGCAGCCCTTCGATCGCTCGATTGGTAATTCCATGTCTCTTCAAAAGACAGACTCTGCAGACACACAAGCAGCCAAGGTATGTAGTATTTTTATTGATAGAGCGCTTTTTAATTGATTGTTATTTAAACCCAAACAAAAGTTATCATAACAGCCAATAAGAAGACAGGAAAAACCTTTAAGAACCAATGAGAACTCAAAAGAAGAACAACCAAACTGCCTAAGGCGCGCGAAAACACGGAAGGCTAAGTCGTGATTGGTCTAAGTTTTGCATCTGATTAATAAAAAATTGATATTTAGTTGTGTTGTGATTGGTCCTTGTGACGGCTTCGGTTCTGGTGCAACGACATTGTCATAAAGCGCTGTGATACTTTGATGCTGCTCGGTGGTAAGATTTATATCAAATTCGTTGGAAGGGTTTGAGTATAGAGTATAGAGTCCTCTTTCACAGATCGAAAGAGCAAGGCTAATGATTGAAGATAACTGTCTTAAATTGGCCAGCCCAAATTATATAACAAACTAATATTATTTCAGACTGCTAAGAGAGATTATATGTGACTAGTTAGAAATTAGTCCACTGTCGTACAAGATTTGAATAACTCGCAGTCAGTCTATGAGTTATCATAGACTTGATAGTGTGTCGAGACTTTTTTAACGTACTTGTGTTTGTTTTTCCTTTTTCCTGCAGACCGAGGAACGAAGGTTAGAGAATTATTGGTGGAAAAGCTACACCAATGATGACTTATTCGTGCAAAAGCCTTTCAAGTAGACGCTACCCTCCGACTGACAGAGTGTCCCTTTAATTTAAATTGAGGATGTGCATTGTCTCCCCCCCCACCCCAGGGCTATAAATAGGTTGCAGTTGGGGGTAATGCAGCAGCATCCCAATCAGGAGGAGTCGCGACTCTCCAAGTTGATTCTCGCCACGGAAACTGGGACAAGCCTTGGTTTTGTGGGCCCTGGAGGATACCCTGGGAGATATTCCAGGGAGATACCCCCGGAATAAACCCTCGGGATATATTTCCGTAAGATACCCCCGGGAGATACCCCTGGAAGATACCCCTTGGAGATACTTCCAGGAGGGGTTATCTGCGACCTGCTAACTTTTCGCCAAGGACAAGTTACAATACTCCAAGTAACTTCAAGTTACAGAAATCGGCATAAAGTTGATCAGTAATGGGTCACTTTGCTCGTAAGATTGAAGTTTTGATCCTTTGAAATGGCTGATCCAATCGCCTCCAAGCGTTTTTCTAAGCTATGATTTATTTTGAAGGCGCGTAGTCATGTTTTTAGCTCTAGAACATTGTACGTATCACTGACGGGGAGCACCTCGGATCAGAGCCATATATCTCCTCCCCCTCCCCCCCTAGTAACAATGTTATAGGGAAGTCCACCAATGTTCAGCTTCTAAAATTGTCTCTGTACTTTTTTTATTTTAGTGCAATGGATGACATTGAGTCGTGGCTCGATATAACGGAGAAAGATGTGGTAAGGATGGCAATAGTTATGTATTTTTATTCAGATTGATATTACAAATTTGAATTTTCATAAGTGTATAGACTCAGAACAGTTGTCCATATATCAAATTAGGGTAATTAAGTATTATCAACTGAGTTGATAACGTAAATTGGCCACCGTAAAGAGTTTCAAAGCTGACATTTCTAATGTTAGCCCTTCGCCATTCGTTCTTTTGAAAAGGCTAACGCTCCAAACGTCAGCTTTGAAACTCTTTACGGTGGCCAATTTACGTTATCAACTCAGTTGATAATACTAAATTACCCTGTTTCACTCTCCCACCGACGTAGTACCACAGTTTAGAAAGTTATCCCCGTTATTCTTATTTTAAATTACCTTGGTGTTGTGTTTGGATTCTGACCGCTCCAAGCAAGGTCCTCATGTTCTCGGATCAATGTCAGTATCGGAGCAACTATGCACCTACCCCTCCCCTAACCCAACATCAACCCCAAGTTGTGATAAGTTGACTGTTTTCGGGTTACGGGAGGGATAGGTGCGCAGTTGCTCAGATACTGACATTGATCCGTGTTCCCCATCCATACTCGTGCCCAGTACTAAGCTCTACTGGGAAGAATTTTCAAAGCTAGAGCAGCTTTGTGCGAGCAGAGCGCGCCAAGAATGACTAAGAAGATAGAGAATAACTTTCCTTCGCTACGGAAACGAATAAACAACCATGGGGTACTAGTGCTTTGGCTGTGCCAAAGGGGATTTTATCAATAACTCAGTAACACATTTGCTCACTCAACAGGCTGAAGCCGCTGCTGGCCAACCAGCTGGTGACACCTTGAGTAGTTCAGGTTTGTGGAGCCTAAAGTGCATTTCGATTTGAAATTACAATTGTCAGAAGTAACAGAGGAAAGTATCAGCCAACAAGGACTCAGAGCTAGAACTGCCTGAAGTGCGGGAAATTTCACGTGATCAAGTCATGATTGGTTAAAATTCGGCTGCCTCTGAATGGTTAATGGGTACAATGCAATGCAATGAAATCTCGGGTAACTTACGACTCTCAAATGAAGATTTTCATTGATACTATGTGATATTTTCTTTAGTTGTGATCGGCCGTTGAAATTGCTTCGATTACAATGGAAAACTTTCTTTTTTTTGCAGCAAGTCGTTTACGAACATCATTTTCGCTTTTTCTTTCAGAGTTCGACCAGTTTCTTGCGGACCGAGCCGCTGCAGGCGGTATGCGGAGTGGTAGCGTAAAGGGAGGCAGTAACCGTCCCAGACAGAGACAAATGCAAATGGAAAACCAGGCGGATGATGAAATGTTCGGCTTATGATTCAACTGTGAAAATACTTTCTTTTTTCAGACTATAACCTTGGTTTTGAAACGTTCTTCTGCTGTAAAAGAGCTCTACAAACGGATTATGGACGTCTGTTTTGTGACGAGGATTTTAGTTATTGACATTTTTGTCAAAGAATTACTGTAATGGCACGCAACGTTTCAGTCGATGAAAGATTGCGTTAGAACACCACAAACGACTTCGAAATACGACTTAAAAGAGACAAAGTCGTAATGAAATGGACGTCAGTAGGAAGCACGAGGAAAGAAGGACATAAGAAATGAGAATTTTGGTAAATTGGTGAATATGACTTAAGATATTCTCTAGTTTCAGGTGGGCAGATTTGGCCACGTGACGCATTTAGACCAATTTCCCGCTAGAAAATATATTTGATATGTTTTTTTTTTAAGCATATTGATACTGTAAGAAGAAAGAAGATGATAGGCAGTTTTGGGAATTCAAGAGATGCACTGATCGTCAAATTCATGAAATATCAGATTTAAAGTGAAAACGTGGCCTTGCCTTTTGTTGAAAAAAAATTAAGATAATTGATGCAACCATAATTAGAATAGTTTTCAAGTCATATTCATTATAACATATTGACAGCAGAAATCGTGAGGTGTGATCCTTTTCCTTCACAATTATTGATCGGTCTCGTCTCGCAATCCCGTCACCCAACGCGACTCGCGTGGATATAGCGTGTCATATTGCGTGACTAAACGACGCTTGTGAAAGAAACCTCTGCGATCGTTTGTTATAATGTAGTATTGATCGTTCAGTGTTCTGTTTAAGTCTCTTTGAAAAATTTGAGCAATGTATGATATGATTATAGACAAACACCAGGATTCTTTACGATCGAACTTTAATTTTTATCTTAGAACGTGATATCAAATAAGAAAGAATTGGTGAAACGCTTGAGGAATTGTAGTAAAAATGTGCACGTTTCAGACATGATCCTGTGAAACAAAAATGGGTGCGTATGATTAATTTGTGTTGGTTGGAATGTAGAGATTATCATAGTTCACGAGAAAACTACTGAGAAAACGGAACTGAAGAACATGTCACTCTTGGGACGCAGCTCATCGCTGGAAAGCCTATGATAAGTCATGCACTGCACACTTTCTGGTGCCCAAGCTTCGGAGCTAGATAAGCTTGCAGAGTCGTCGGTTTTTTTCTTTTTCTTTCTCTTTTTTTCCTTTTTTTTTGCGCTTGTAAGGCGAGCAGAATAAAGCGCGAGGCGCGCGCAAAGCGGGCGTTAAGGGCGAGTCACATTCGAAAGGAGGAGCGTGACCATTTATAAAAATAAATATGCAAATTTCGTCAGTTGTGCAGATAAGGACAACATATGTCAAATGACGTGGAGAATTATATTTTAATATCTTAAATTAGTAGATCCTCATAATTGTAACTCTTACGTGGAAAGCTGCTGGAGCTTTGAAGGTGTGTTCACGAAAGGATGTGTTCAGAAGCTAGATTTTGTATTACTTTGAGTCTTATTACCTTCATAACAGTTCAGTCCCCAATCTTCACCTTCCGCGCACGATGTTGGGGTTCCAGGTCTCGAGGTTCATTTATTCCTGACGTTTCTTTGTTTTCTGTTTTTTTTTTTTTTTTTCGAAGAGGCGCTGTCTTTTTGAAATTATATTCACTTCAGTTTGTTTTTTGATTATTCTTTTCTTCTTTTCTTCTATTCGTCATACAAGATAATTACTTTTACTTCAAAGTTAGTTCGCGAACACAACTGTTTATCTTCTTCATTGCGAAACTTCTTAAAAATTCGGAGCAACAAGACTTCAAAAAGGTCTTTGGTTACCTTTTTTTTTATTATATTTTGTTTGTTTTTTAGTGAAAATAAAATAACTTTTGACTCCAACTGATAAGTTGTCTTTTTGTGAAGGGGCGAGAGTTAACAGGCAAGGTGCAGGGTACAAGTTTAGACGTCAATACAAGCTCTAAGTCACATGCTTTCGAAGACGCTGCGCCATTGGTCAATACTTGCCTAAAACTCACTGCGCCCCAAAAATTTGCCCAATGATATGCCACTAGAACAGCTTCCGGTTTTGTCGTGTCATGTCAGATACTTGGCCAAAGTATTAAAGTTTTAGTATGAGAAGAGAACACAAAATAAGTTCCTTGTGTGTATAAAACACCAAAGAGACCAGTAAGATGGTGATTTTGTCTGCAAGTCGTCAGGCCCATTGTCCTCGACTAAGTGCCTTGTATCCTGAATTTCTTGTGAAGTTCAAATTTTGCGGGGTTTGACTAAATCTTTTATCCGTAAATGTGTTCCCACGGAAAAAAAATTCCGGTGATTTAACAAGACGTGGAAAAGAGATGTGTTTCTAATTGATGTATCAACAGCAGGCACGAAAATCGAATGGTAAACCAGTCTAGAATTGCAGGCAAATTCTCACTTAAAAACTTGCGCGGAAAGAAACTGGAAATGATGGACCATTTTCAAAACACAAGTTCCCGCCTGTCATTTCAAAATTCGCGGTCAATATATCATCCAAATATGGCGATCTTTTGTACCTTTTGTCCAATCACATTTGCGGATTGCCCTTCGAGGCTCTTAGATATGCGCCGCTGGTTTGTTTTCTGCGCATATCGCACATGTTCCTTTCTTCAGTAGGGAATGTTTTTGAGGTTAGATGTAGCATTTTACCCTAGTGTCTATGATTGATCTCCGGATTCGTTCCACTCAGAAACGCAGGATGTGCTCCTGCCCACACCTGAAAGACTTTAAAAAGGCTGATGGCTTCAAAGTCTTTCGTAAAGTCCACGCGCATTTCGTCTGCTGCGGTTCTCGCGAGGCAAGGAAACGAAAGGTACACATGCTTGTAAATTTCCGTAATAGAAGTAAGCTGGTCCTAAAGTGCATCTGTCGTCTTTATTTTCATATTTTCAATTTTCCTTCTCTCAGGCAAGCTTGTGTCACTGTCACGAATGTGGAACATATTCAAGTCGTCTCCATTCCTGTCTTTTGTGCGTATATTTTGGTTGCTATACCGGAAACCGGCACATTCACCATCACGCAAAATCCACCGGTCATTCTTTAGGTAGGGAACGCGGAACGAAAAAAATAATACTTTGGTACTCTGTTCAATCATTTGCAGCATTCTCATTTATTACATTTGTTTTGCTGTTTCCAGCTTTGGATCTGACTCATGGCGTAATCTACTGCTTCGTGTGCAGAGACAATGTATACGATCTGGATTTGGAGAAGATTCGTGTCGAGCAAACCAGCAGAGCTTGGAAAACCTTAGGTAAGAGCTAACCATAGCTCAGGAGAAATCTGTTTTTATTGCGTGCTAGATTCTGTGGATTTTATATCCCAGCTTGGGGAAGGGATCGAAGATGTGTTTAGTGGTGAACGCTCATCGGAGTTCACGGGAAGAGAGATTCATCAATGTACTTTAACATGCAGTTAAAAGACTCTACATCTTTACAAATTTCCATATTTTGTTAATTTTGCATGCCGTTACTTGGTCAAGACCTGTCATGTTAGGCAGTGCTGTGGCAATAACAGTGGTTGCTCAAAATTGAACTATCATGCTCGCGATCGCGAATAAACACGAATCCGTATGCAATTATTGTCAAGACGTCGTACTTCAGCTCCATGTCGCTTTGTTTACTTGTACAACTTTGACAGAACCATCCAAATTTTATACTGTTTCTATTGATTTTGTAATTACAACCAAAAGCTGTGAATTTTAAAGCGGTTTTAAAAACAGAGTTGCAAAAATATACAAACTAAGGAAGTTTTTCCCGACTTCTCATCCAATAACACGAGGCTAACATTTAGACTGTATAGAGGACATGAAGTTCTTTCAACTCACTAGATTAGGATAGAAGGAAAATACGAGTAAGCTAATTATAGATTTTATCAAAGCTAAGATGTCATATGATCGTTACACATCAGGATCTGCCTTATCATGGATGAAAAAATTCTGAACTAAAATTATACTTAGAACTCATTGTCGATATTGAGGTGACCTTGACCTTGTGAAGTTTTTGAGGGGAAGAGGCTTTCTGTTGATTGCAATTTGGTTGTTCATAAAGGATCATAGTTCACTTCAATTTGGGTACCCATCTTTTAGGTGTTGTGATATATTCATCACAAAGCATCTCTCACACAATATCTACTGTTTCCTTTTCACTGACAAATGATAAGCTGTTCCAATATTGCATGGCGGACTTGCCGCTTGCTAAATGAGAATCCAGTTGTTACACCAGCTGAATTCTCTATTATTGTTTGACAGGTTTCTCGCGCTTGTCATGGTTTCTTTATATTCAGGTGATTGAGTTACAGACAAAAATAAACAATTCAAGTCCTGACAATTTTCATGTGTATGCCCTTCTTTTGTCCTAAATTACAACTATTAATGTTGAACAATGGATTAAGTTTACCATTATCCCCTTCTCCTTTTTGCTAGTTTATTTCTCTTATTACTTCCTCACATTTTCTCAAAAGTCACTCCAAGCTTTCCTTGATCTTGCTATTTAAACACTTCATCAAAGTACACAGCATTGGCTGACTTTCAAATACACTTCACATGCAAGCTTTCTTTTTTATTTTGGTTTCACATAGTGAAGGTGACATTTCATGTGAATTACACAATATAAATGCAAATTCAAAGTATGAGCATTCATTTGGGTAAATAAAATCTTGACCTCAGTGCAAAAATTGGTACAGTTGAATTCCTTAAACTGGCCAAAGCCTGGTGTGTTAATTACATGTATAAAATCTTATTTCTAGCATTGCTCAATACTAAAAACATTGATTCCTTGTTATGTAATGGTGCCATGCAGTTCACACTAGACTGTCAGTGTCTATCTCTACAAAGGAGAAAAAACCAAATTGAAAAATTATATCAGAAAACTTGGAAACTGTAGGAGGTTACTTGGAATGAGTTGGCTTTCCAGTGAGGGCTTGTTTGGAACATGTGATATGCTCTGTATTATGGGCTACATGGCTTGAAAGACCTGATATCATGAAATAGTACATTTTACAATTACATGCTTGGTTGCCAAGCCTTTGAATGTAATAAGTGAGGTCAAGGGTGACCTTGTTATGATACAAACCTTGCTGCTTTTCAAATGTAAATTACTTTGTTATCATGCTAACTAGATACTGGTCACCTTCAGCCTCACTCCAAATCAAAGGCTTGGCAACTAAATACACAACTGTAAAATGACCTATTCTCTTGTTTTGTATGAACTGTGTTATCTGTTTTTGATCTGTATTTCTTTCCTTCTGATTCTTTTATTTCAGCTGGACATAGTCTCAGTAAGTATGTTCCATGGGAACCAACTAAAGCTGAACTACAACTGCTCAGAGAAAACAAGAAAAGAATAAAGCTTGAAACAAATTCATTCATAGGTAACTGGTAAACATCTTTTGGTGTATCATAGTGATACTGCAGAGATCAATTTCAATCATTTACCAAGTAAATGTACTGGAATACGGGCATACATTTTCCTGGAGTGATCAGTTTACCATTTCTCCTTACTTACTGAGTACATCGTCAAGTAGATAGTTATGGGAATTAAGAAATCTAAAATGGTCTTGATATAACACCAAATTCTCAGAACCATTTAACATAGAATTGTATATTGACCATTTGGGTGAATTAACTTTCAGATGGTAAAATTTTCTTTTGTTGTAGGTCTTAGAGGACTTATAAACCTTGGAAATACTTGCTTCATGAACTGCATTGTCCAAGCATTGACTCATACTCCATTGCTAAGAGACTATTTCTTGTCTGATCAACACGTCTGTGCAGGAGACAAAGACCAGTGTATTGTATGCGAAGTTGGCTCAGTCTTTCAAGAGGTAGTAGAAAATTATTTTTCTGTGGTATTTGTGTTTTTAAAAAATCTTGTGATGAGTATTATTTAATAATACAGTGTGACAGGCAGGTGTGCTGCTATTTAAGCAATTGCAGAAAAGAAAAATTCAGGCTTTGATGATATTTGAACTTGTGCCTCACAGCTACCTGTACTAGTTTGGTGCTACTGCCAACTGAGTTACAAGGTCACTCAATAGAGGCAAGGCAAGATTGAGGGTTAATCTTTCCCTCAGAGTAACCTGATCACATTTTAAAATTTATTTCGTTAAAGATTGTGATAGATATAGTAGTATCAATAAAAGTGATAACCATTCTGTGCAATAGAAGAGATACCAGGTTTTTCCTGTTGCACCAGTGCACTACCAAATCTGCTTAATTTGACCCATCGCCCTTGAGAACACCATTTATTGATACCACAGGTTAAAGAGTGCTGTTTTCCAAGATAAATTTTTGTCCCAAGTTTTGCAGTTTTCTAAACTGCTTAGATTTAGGGGAAGGCTTCAGAATGCCTCATGTTGCTTAGAATTATTTGGGAGATCAAAGTGGTTAGCAACTGGCTCGGTTTGGTTTGGTTTGATTATGGTGGAAGGCTACAGAGATTGCACTTGATTCAGTTCATTAACCAAATTTTTATTGGTTGATTTTCAGTTTTATTCAGGGCAAAAAGTTCCACATACTCCTTTCAAACTGTTGCATCTTGTGTGGACTCATGCGCGGCATTTGGCTGGTTATGAACAGCAGGATGCACATGAGTTTTTCATTGCTGCTCTTGACGTCCTTCATCAGTACTGTAAAGGTGTGTTAAAATTGAACATAACACATTTTAATATCACAAAATGTCTTGTTCCCACAGTCAATCCTTAAGGGCCTTCTTTCCCTCTTTGTCTCTCTTTTCCCCTCTTTCTATTAACTAATCAGAGTGATATATCAATAGAGATCTTTGCTATATCACCAAGATTTTCCAGTTGGCAGTGCTGAGGGGTTTCCATTGGGGAGTTGGAACCTTAGACAAAATAAAAGAAACACCACAATCACCCCAACCCTATCAGGTGAAAAAGGTGTGGTCTTCTTAGTAGTGAAGAATAGGGAGTTAATTTTTCCATTTTATTTTGCCCAAGATTGTGGCTTCCTGTATCACAGAAGATGTTCCAGGCACCCATTAAAAAAGCTAGACAAAACAATTTTCTGATTTTATGCCAATTCCAAAGAAGAGAAGGTGTGAGGCCTGTTAAAAGAAAAGACAGAATTTGTTAGATTTGATTTTGTCCAAGCCTTGTGGCTTCCTTAGTCTTAACCCTTTAACTCCCAGATCAAATTAGTAATTCTCCTAAATATCAACTATACAATTCTTATAATGTTAGTTCAGAGAAGTTAGTATTGGATCAACTTATTATCCCCAAATTGATATTTTTCTTTACTCTCAACACTTATCTGGTTGACATTGTATTGATATTGTAAGGAGAAATTCTGTTTCGGTCACTCATGGGAGTTAAAAAGTTACAACAGGAGAAGTCAAAGAGCCAATTTTCAAGAAAATGGAAACTACAAGACCTACTCTGTCAGTTGACGAAAAGGACTGCTTTTCATCATACCCCCAATAGATATCATCTTTATTGTGGATAGAGTGAAGAACAATTTTTAATCATGCAAATTGTTTGTTTTAGATGATGCACCAGACAAAGACATCTTGGTTCCTAATAATCCCAACAGATGTAACTGTATCATTGATAGAATATTTACTGGTGGCCTGCAGTCAGATGTGACATGTCAAGCTTGCAAGTAAGTCATTACCAAATCCAGAGATCTAGAAATTGAAGAGCTCTCTTTCTTTCTATTGCATGGGTAAAGGGTCATATGATTTTTTTTGACTTTCCAGGTGATAGACTTGTAAAATTGTTATGAATTCATTTAGACTTTATTAATTAAGTTTTTTTCTCCCATAGGTGTGTTTCAACCACCATTGATCCTTTCTGGGATATTTCTCTAGACCTTGGAAATGTTGATCATAGTAATGGAAGAAGCAGTTCTGGTGCGTCAGCTGCATCAACTCCAGACCCCACCCCTCCAGGTACATTACAATAACATCAGATAAATAGCAGTGTAAAAGTGACATATCTGTACTTTTGAAATTCAAACTTTATAGATTTCTTTTAATCACTTGCTTTAAAACAATTAAGAATTTTATAGTTTAATTCTTGTCCTTTTCCTCTGGTTCAACTATTTTAAATACAGATTTGTTAGTCAAGCAAAAAATTGTACATACATAAGATGAGAGTGCATAAACTAAGAGTAAATTTTAAATTCAGGCAAGGATGGAGCTAAGCAGAGGTGTTCTTTAGTGCCAGCAACCCCTTCCTTGTCTGGAAAATTTGACAATAGCTAAAAACAAAAAAAAACCCTTGTATGCCTCTAACTCCCATGAGTGACCAAGACAGAATCTCTCCTTACAATATCATTACAATATCAAGCAGACAAGTAATGAGGAAAAAGAAAAATATCAGCAAGGGGGTAATTAGTTGATCCAAGTTCTCTAGACTAACATCTTGATAGCAGTATGGTGCAGATTACATTGGGAAATGTTTAAACTGGCTTGATTCAGTCAATTTATTATTGTTATGCAGATGAAAATGGTCAACCAGCCCCAGAGAACAATCATCATGATGAAAGCTTTGTTCCCAAATCACTTATTGAATGCTTGAGAAGGTAAATGGATATAAAATACTCTTTTTTTATGGATTAATCTTGCAAAGTCACTTATCTTACTTTTAGTGCTTAAGGTTTGTCATGATCTCTCTGCAGTTGACAATATGGTCATTATTTAATGGTACCATGCCTGTGACATAATGAGTTCTTTCATTTTAAGATTTACAAGACCCGAAAGGCTTGGTAGTGAAGCAAAAATAAAATGTAGTCAATGCCAGACATACCAGGTAAGTGTATGGAAAGCTACATGGCATAGAAATACCAACAGCGATTGCTCAAAATGGCAACCCAACCACCAATGTGTGTATGTGTGGTAGGTGGCGAGTCACCTTAAATTACTGCAACACAGAGGTGACTATCCCTACAATAGAGGGTGTATTAGTCTTTGATATTAGTCTTGAATCTCTTTCCAATACAGAGGTCACTATCCTTACAACAGAGGGCATATTAGTCTTTGATATTAGTCTTGAATCTTTTTCCAATACAGAGGACATTTTTACTCCCAACCAACAGATACCAGACCTTGTTTTTGTGCTGGCCATGCTTATATAGTTTTATTATTATTATTTTCATACAGGAATCTACCAAGCAGTTAACAATGAAGAAATTGCCTATAGTAGTTTGTTTTCATTTTAAGGTAACATCAGCCACTGATTATTATTGTCATAGCAACTATTGAGACTTAAACTTCAGAGTAGAATTCATCCATGACTGGTTATGCTTCAAGTCCATCTCAAAGACCCCGCATGAGAGAATTGGCTACCCAATAATAATTGCACCAGCTCACAGGGCCATTGTTTTGTGCATTTATGCCAGACTCTATCCTGACAGTGCATCTTTCAACCTATGAACTGTGACTAATACTGGTGAACTAATAAGAAATTCTACTGAAACTGAATGCAAAAATCCTGGTGGATTGCCTTTGATGGACAAGCAATCCATAAAAGAGGAGCAGTGATAATGTTGAGGTAGTCACCTGATGCATCGGAAACCAGGCTTTGCTTTTAAATTAGCTGCTGTTAGGCATTATAAGCTTACATATACAATACTAGTATACTGTTCTTCTAAGTAGCCCTGGTGAAGCCTAATGCTGATCAGCTTTTTCCCTTCTTAAAGTCGTCAAACCTCTCATCCTTCTTAAAGTCGTCAAACCTCTCATAAATCAATTTTATTTACTGTCTTATTTGTCATATGTTGTTTGTTTGCTTGCAGCGTTTTGAACATTCAAAGAAATCCAAGAAAATTTCAACGTACATCCCTTTCCCGCAACAACTAGACATGGCTCCATTTATGGCATCAAGGTGGGTGACCCTGCAACAATAAATACTGATGTGATTAAAATATTTCAAATACCAACTGATACAGACAGACAGATGGACATACTGACAGACAGGTAGACTGACAGACCGACTGATCCAATTACTGGCTGACTGACTATCTGACTTGATGACCGATTGTTTCGTTACTTGTTTGATTGACTGATTGGCTGACTAATTGATTTATTTTTTTTGAAGATTGAATGGTAATGTTGATCACAGTCAGCCCACCTTCCCATGTGATGCGAAGTAAGTTCTCGTTCACATTTTTGGAGTCATGTGGATGTATCTGACGCGACTAACCAAGTTCATATAGATGACATTTCTAAAAGATCAAAAAAAAAACGTAGCCTCAACTACATGTAAATATTAAAGAGATAACGAACAATTAAATACATCAGTGTGATATGCTTTATAATGTTACTGTTGTATTCCTTGGATAAGGTCTTTGTAAGTTTCCCCCTGGTAATGCTGTGGTATTTCTACTTGTCGGTTTTCCTCAGGTATACTTTATTTGCTGTCGTGAACCACAGTGGTACATTAGAAGTTGGTCACTATACGTGTTTCATTCGTCAACAGCAGCAGGTCTGTAGCTTAATTGCCTCTAGGTGTTTTACAATAATTTTCAATCGTAACTTAGTAATCCGAGATTGCATTGGTTTGCTTTTGCTTCGCTCTGTGATTGGTTCAGAAAACTCGCTCCACTCTCAACCAATCGGATGGTGAAATGAAACCAATCACGACTTGGTCGCCCGCGTTTCCCGCGCTTTGGGCAGTTTGCTTGTTCTTACTCTGAGTTCTCATTGGCCCTAAACGAATTTTCCTTTTTTCTAATTGGCTGTTGAGATTATCTTGGTTTTGGATTTACGACCGTCAATCGAAAATTGCTCTAAATGCGTTTCATGAATGCTGGGTTAGAAAGAAGCATAGTCCCCACCGTGTATTTACGACTGTAAACGTTTGAATCCTCTCAAAATCTCTTTCTTATTTGTACATGTAAAAGGTTAAATTCATCTAGACTCTCACCTCATTGTTATTCAGATCATGTCGGGTAGATCAATTTTTTTTTTACAAAATATCTTTTTGAAAAAAGTGTTCGTTATTTGATGGGGTATAACAAAGGTCATGGTTTTCAAAGAATCCATGAGTAGTCTCAGCAGTTTTTCATCCGAAGGACTAAAATCTCAAAAAGTCACCTTCGGCCTTAAGGAGACTCAAACCATTTGGCCCAGTTGTATAAAGGTTGGATAACGCTATCCGGCGGATAAGTGATAGCAAAACGTATAGCGTTGTCCACCAGATAGCGATTTATCCAATGGATAGCGTTATCCAACCTTTGAACAACCAGGGCCTGGTCGTTCCTTTATTTTCTGTTAATTTTTCGCATAATAAGGGAGAGGCAGAAGTGGAATATCGTTTGGTACTTACTCTTTAACCGACCGGCTTCCAAAGTTTTTGTGCCCAATTCTGCTGCAACTTAAACTTAAAACCTTTTCAATTTCAGTCTGTGTAATCCACTTTCTTGGTTTGACAATTATCTTTTTTTGCTAACATTTTTTTTCTTAGTGGTTTAAATGCGACGATGCATGGATCACGAAAGCTACGTTGGATGACGTACTTCAGAGCGAAGGGTAAGATATGAGGCTCTTCGCTCTCTCTAGAGCATGCGAAGTTTTCAGTTTAGTTGCGAAAGTGATCTGGATTGCTTTAGTTTTACTTCGCTCTGTAATTGGTCTACCAAACTCGCGCCACTATCTCAGCCAATTGAATGCAAGACTTAAGCCAGCCCCAACTTGTTCACTCGTGTTTTCCCGCGCTTCAAGCAGGTTGCCTGTGTCTACTTTGAGTTCTCTTAAGATGACATCAACTTTTTTTTCTGATGGGTAGTTGTAATTACTTTGGTTTTGGTTTTCGGAACGGTGAATGGTGCAACATTCAGACACCGCGACGCAAATGGAAAATTTTCGATTTGGTGTCAACATTTTTCGTTACTTTTAAAATAATGATAAAATGTGATATACGTTTAACCATTTTGTTGTTTTTTATTTCAGATATCTACTTTTCTACCACAAGAAAGTCCTTGAATACGAATGACTGCGTAGAAGTCTAAAAAAAGTCAGATCAAAGAGTCAGATCAAATAAGATTATCACCATGTTCTTTGATAAATTACCCAAAAAATTGTACATTTTGATCAATACTGTTTTCATGTCAATGCTTCAAGTAAAACAAGCCTCCCTGCCGTTTTGGTCGAAGAACCCATGAAGGCTCCACACAAATTACTTTCTTGGCAAAAGTGGTTGTGCAAATCTACTCTTTTTTGCTCAGCTGTCAAAAGTCTCTTAAAACGTTCGGTCTCTAATCTTCAAGGGACAATAAAACTTGGATCTTGTTATCGAAAGGACTTTTAAATTTGACCAATAATTTTCGTCATCGGAAGGAGACATTGTGCAAAACTCGTTTTATAAATTTTGAATACACTTACTATGCAAGCTTTACAGCGTTTCAAATGATAATATAATTGGAAAATCCCATGCTTTTTGTTGAAGAAATTATCACCCTTTTTGAAAGTGAAAATATGATTTTACACAAGAACTAGTGACACTAAGTGTCATTTCCCTTACTTGTCACATAAAACCTCTTCAGTTGTGGGAGAATAAGCAAACCTTTTATTCCATGTAATTGCTTTCAAGCCCCCAACTCTATCATTTTCTCATTTTCTTTAATTAGTTTGATAACTTAATTTCGTACATAATACAAAGTTGTTAATGAATAATAGATTTATAAAAATTATTTGGTATAAATATGTAGGAATGTATTTATTTGAGGTGCTTTCGCTGTGAAACAATGTTTTTTTTTTCCGGTACTCTCCGATTATCAAATAAAAAACAACTTTGAGAACACTTGTTATTTGATGATCCTGACTAAAATGGCACGGGGCCTTTCATCCATTTTCGTTTCTCCTTAGGGAATATTATCCCTTAGATAGCAAAGTCTCTCTCTCTCGGGGGAGAATGAGAACTCATTCATTCCATTATACTTTCTCTTTAGAAGAAAATAACAATGTTGTCTTCTTTTCGTTTCTTACCCTTACCAAAAGAAAAGCAGTATCTCATATTAACTGTTTCTTGTTTTTACATGCGGATCTGTTAGAAACATAATTTTCTTTCTTCTCGATTCTTTATCGCTCTGACGAAGGGCAAAAGCTCAGAGCGTCAGCTTTGAAACTCTTTACAGTGGCCAATTTACGTTATAAACTCAGTTGATAATACTTAATTACCCTGTTACACTCTCTCACCGACACAGCGCCACAGTTTCTTTAGAAAACTTACCCCCTTTAGTCTTTATGAGATGGTTGAGCGTGCAAACTTACCTCTGTGCCAAATTTATGATGTATCAGCTGATCATTGGCTGATTTGGTTAATCCATATTCATCAAAAATTTAAAATTTTCAGCAAACTACGCTTTTTGCCAAAGAGTGAGGACATGGCATCTCTTGTGATGAAGATGAAGTAGAACTTTGGATGGAATAAGACACCTTGAACTGTACTGAAAAGCAGTGAAAGCGTTCCTCAACAGAAGGTGGGGTTTCCTTTGAAAAGTATCGCCGTGAACTCTTAGAAATACGAACGAGTTGCAAATTATTCGTTTAACGAATGAATAACACGTGTTCGTTGGTTCGTCTTAGTGACTCTTGCGTCGGTACAGCAGTTAAATAATACTGTCTTGCGTTCCTGACGGAGCACGAGACAAATTTTGATAGGATTCAACGCCGTCTTTTTATCGAATATCACTGCAATAAAATGTTATTGAAGCTAGATTGAATACGCTACGGGGATGTTTTAAACTGCTTTTTCAAATCCCTTTAGTATTTCTCAGAACAAATAAATAGAACTGTTCTCTACATCAATAATCCTCGTAAGCACTGCTATCTCACATAAACTCATCTTTCAAACAGTTATCAGTCCCTCATCCAATTTTACAATTCATATTTCAGGAGGGGGAAGGTTGTTAGCTGATGGAAAAATAAAGAATTGGGGCAAGGAATCAAGAGGAATCACAAATTTCAAGAGGATACTACAAAGATAGGAACCTTAAATTATTGAGTAAGAGTAGCAAAAATGGTGGCTATCAAGATTTCTTATTTCCGTAAGAAGACTTAAATCTTCCCAATTTGACTTGTGCCTTGAAATGGTTAGAATTGTTCGGTTCATATGGCCACCATTTTTGGATTAATTTGTGATGGTACAAACTGTTCAGCAGACCCAAACAAGTCGAATGAATGAGTTAACTTTGCTAAACAAAAAATAATTTCTTCATCAAAACCGAAACAGAAACCAACACGGTGCCATTTTAAAAATTGTAATTACTATTTTGTCACATCAACTGAGAAAGGGTTAAGATTGCAGATTGCAGACTGCAGGAGGACATTGCCTTTAAAGTCGTGACCGACTCTAAGGTTTCTTCAAGAAATTATACACTGTGTCAAGATCTATAAGCTTTGTTGTTTAACTTCTTTTTCCTTTTTAATTGAGACCTTGTTAAACCAATGTCCTCCTGTCGTCTTGGAAACCATCTGTTTTAAACCCTTAATGGCTGGTTACGAGAACATATAAAAAAATACAGTCCCTCTCTACTAAAAATGTACCGTTACACAAACCAAATTGAATGGATCTTTGTGGTAGTAACGAGAAAATACAGATTTTTGATCATTCGAGATGGCTACATTTCCCAATTTTTCCCAAACACGTAGAAAAATAGGCATCAGATTGGACGAATAGGTATTTAAATATGCTCATTTGTCAAATCATAACGTACAAACCGTTTATTGCTTTTGTTTTACTTCGAAGAAATCTAGATTTTATTCCTGAAAAGAAATTAATCAAAGATGAATGCTTGTGTGGAAATAATTGTTGAGCAATTATCATTACCCTGAGTTGGTTATTAACTCGTCATCAAAGAGTATGGGTGGGGTTTCTGATAGTTTGTTGAAACAGAATCATCAAACTTTTTTCTCCAGTGAAAGCGAAAGCAGCATATGTAAGCGTCGTGATTTTAATGAGTGTATCGAAAAGATTCTTCTTCCAAAATGGGCCATTTTTTAGAAATACGTTACCTCTTTTTCGCGTGTTCTTTTCAATGGTTTGTGTAACGGTGTTTCCTTAGTTAGAACATGAACGTTAATGTTGGCAAAACTTTTTAGTGAACTTCGATTCGACAAAACAATCGTTAAAGTTAATTTACGTACCAGGCATTTGGTTTTATAATGTAACGTAGTTAATTTGCTCTTGAGGTGGAAGGAAGTCCTATTATGCTCGCTGTTATTCGGTGTAACACAGGAAAACAGTTAAAAAAAATTCTTCCAAACTTGGTGGTTTTGACATCTAACGACTGAATTTGTAGGTTTAAAAAGCGACACAAAACTTGATATAAAATAAGATAATTTTCAAGCAAGAGCGCGAGATTAAATTGAATTTCTTAGCCTTTGTAGCCATAACCAAAGTTTTCAGATTACCAATAAGCTTTGAATTCAAAAATATTATTTCTTTGTTTTAGTACACGAAACAAAGCTCTTGTAGCTAAAACAGCACAAAAACTATTTATTACTATAATTGAAAAAATTGTGAAAAATTTTTTTGATAGAAAAAATTGCCTCCAATATTCAGTTCCAAATGTTCCAAAAAGGTTGCCTCTAAATTCATTTCCAAATATGTGATAACTTTTTTGACGCTCTTCATCTTCTGTTCTGTGTTGCATTCGATAACTGCTTTAAAGATCTTTCATCCTGAAAAAAAGACATCATGGCAAATCATAGGATTATAAAAAGAAAAACTGTTTGGGTCGGTCTTAAAGCATTATCATGGCAAAAAAATAAAAAAATTCAATTTTAATGAGAAATTACTGGATCATCTATATCATTGCCAAGGTCACGGCTTTTTCGTTCAAGACTGTTGTTAGACAGCGTCTCGTGCGAAAAACGTCTGTTTAAATTATTTAGTAAAAAGATAGGCACACTCGGGGAAAATGGATCTTAGTTTTTTCTTTAATTATTCCTTTTTTTAACTTTCTCGCCCAAGACACTGTTTAAATAAGTTTTGGAGGAAAACTTTAAAAGTTGACCTGTTTAAATTTTTGCCGACATAGTTGCCAGGGGAAACGCTGTGCAAATTGTTCCCAGTCTTTTTGAAAGAAATTTTCGTATATATATATAGATAAATCTTAATTATAGTCTATCCTTGCGGTAATATCTTAAAATTAATTTCATTTTAAACATATTTAAAATCTGTTTGATGATCGCTTAGGCGTAAAACTCAGAGTCACAGAAAAGTTATGTCTTATTGATTTGTCAACTTTCAGATATATATATATATATATACATACGAAACATTTTTCAAAACACCTTTTTAATTTATTCAGTTAAATACTTATAACCGTCAAGATTTTGAACCAAATAAATGAATTTGCGTCATGAAACAAGTGTGGTTTACTGAGTATATATTGAACGACAATTAAATATTACACGGACCACTGATTCATTAACAATAATACAGTAAGTTGTTAAATGTTAAGTTTATTAGTAAATTCATCTACAACATTAAAAAAAAAGGAAAAAAAAAGAAAGAAAATCGGCGCACACGTGTTGAGCACCAAATTTTTTCCAAATCTTTTGGCGGGAAAATTCGCCACAGTTGAACAGATGTTACTTAAAGAATTCACGTATATTGGCAGGAAATTTAAAACTTTTGAACAGCCCTTAAAATGAAAAAAGAAAAGAAAATGTTTTCTTTTAAGTTGAAATAACAGGTCGGGAAATAAGATTCGCTTATGTTCGGTTTCCCATCTTTGTTTTTAGCAAATTAATCTTAGCTCTGACTCTTGTGTATTCTTGAGAAAAGCGGACTGCATCTTTAGTACCTCTCAATAAATATTGTCTTTCCCTTTGATCACTGTTTTTCTTTTATAAGTCGTGCGTGAAGCATCAAAGACCTGCAGTCTGTAAGAAACAGACAAAAAAAAAACGATGAATAAAGAAATACAATTGACTATACGCCTTGCTTACATCGATCCATAATGATTACGTGTGGGTTGCTCCAAGAATACGGACGTCACTCTAATCTGATTATTTTACACGCATATAATTAGTATTATATTCAATATTCATTTAACTTCCCCCAATTAGTGTAACGTACACGTACTAACCGGGATATACCGATAAACTCAGCACGATCGCAGATAAATATTCGTGAAATTTTGATGCTTTTATCGCCCATTTTTCAACAAAGAAGAACTGAATGCTCTCGGGATGTAAACGGATGTAAAAAGGTTGCTAAAAAATATTAGAACAAAGACCGCGATTTTTGGAAGCCTACCGAGATCGGTTTTAGCCATAAAAGGCCTGAGTTTTTCTATTAAATACTCCAGCTTAAATGAGTTGATTTACAACAAAGCTGAATCGCCAACCTTAAAACATATTTCCTTCAACTCTGTCTTTTCTTGATGTCAAGACTTTTTTGCGCGTTTGATGTTCCCCCAATAGGAAGAAAAAGTTATTGTAGTCCACATTTTTGACAACGATATTGTCTGACGTTTGAAGGCAGAAGGAGACTTTTCTGACAAATGTTTAACATAAAAGCCAGCTGATCTATACAGTGAGTTACTGTAACACTCAACATGTTAAAGAAAACTAGAAAAGGTTTCGATGGATCAAGGGGAGAAGATGTAGATTGATTCACGTAGGGTATGGAGGCCAAGACATATGAAATTAATTAAAAAAAAAATGTATTAAATCGTAGTGTTTTAAACAAATCCTTTAGAATTTTCTTTTTAATCTAAGAAATGATTAAAATTCTTGATTAAATAATTGAATCCACAAATCACATTTTTTAAAAACCCAAAACTTATTTGTGTTCCAAGATGTTGCAATCGCGAAAATATTTTGCCAAGTACCACTTGCGCCAGTTGTCTAGATTTTCGAAAAATGACTTTAAAAAAAATGTGATCTACATTTTTGCTTTTTAATTTAAAAAAATATTGGAATCTTCCCTTATCAGCTTCAGTCCTTAGGTGCTGGAGTTAATTCCGGTGTGACTAAGGATGTCACTACTTCTTGAGTAGGATGTTACTTCATAGCAGGTTACCACAAAGTATCTCGTCTACCGACTTACACTCCTATGTAAAGTGGGCTGAAGGAGTTAAATGCCATTCCTACGAACACAACATGACGACCCGGCCTGGACTTGGACCCAGATCTCTTGTCAAGCGAAATCCAACATATGTTAACCCCGACTCCCTTAGGAGCGACTAGCATCTAAATTCTCTTTACAAAGTCTGCCCTGAATCACAAACCAAGGTCACGAGAATGAAGGAAATGATCACCAACTTAAGGAGCTCTTGATTGTTAAACAAATTCTCCTTGTCAGCGCCTTAAGAAATGTACGGAGAACAGTATGGAGAATATCCATATTGATGTTAGGGTATAAAGGGTTGACCAATACCACTCAAAACCCGAAATAACAAGAAATTATCCCTGCTGCAGCCTCAGTGTGAAAGATTGGAGCAAAACCACGGGTATCATTAAAAGGAATCTAATTAAAAAGTTTTAAGTAACGATACTACAACCTTTTTTTTTTTACCAGGGTAGGTGGTTGGGATTATAAGAGGACCATTCAAAACAAGCTTTAGCAATGGTACAACATTATACGGCTAGCATGAATAACAGTATATGTTATCAAGTAAGTCTACAAATTTAAAGTGTAAATGAGCAAATAAGCGATAAATGGACAGATAGTAAACTACGTATTTCCCGCTGCTGCTGTGATTGTCGCGTGGTTCAACGAGGTACATGGCGGCTGTCGAAAAGGATGTGTCTTACGATGAAGTGATAGTTAGTAACATGCTTTCCTTAAAACGTTTAACCCTTTAATTTGATTTTCAAGGGTAACGAATCAAAACACTGTGTTTCTATGAAAAAGTTGTTTACACGGTAGCAATTTACCTTCTAAAGTTCATGATGAAATGACATCGATCAACCCTTGACGTCGAACTCAAACCACTCGCCGTCAATAACCTCACAGAAACACACGCCAGCTGCCTTGACAGAACACAGGTTAACCAAAGTAGCGGGGACGTGGATGTGACATGTTTCCTTGCTCCTAAATGGCTGATAAAATGCTGAAATTTCTTGTAGTTCGCAAACTCTTCCACGTGCAGGACTGCTCGTAGATGTGAATATTCAACACCAAAAACTAATTGAAATTCTAATTAGTTTTTTTTCCGACAATGTAAGCGGACCCGAAAAGACAGCGAAAAGCTCTTCGGCAATTTCCGATCAGTTTGGCATAGTTCAGTAGGGAGATGCATACAAATCGCCGTAATTGGAAGAAGACTTAATCAAAATAAGATCTAGTTAAAAATTTTCAAACAAATATATCCGCCTCGCAGAACATTTTTGGAATCACTTGCTATCATCTTATACAAACTGCCAGTTATCGCGATGTTTTTCGTTTCTCTCAGCATTTCATGTTTGTGGAGATCAACCTTACATCAACTGCACTCGTGTGTTCATACATGTTCTTTCATTTAGGAGACTTAAATTACTTTTGATATCGATAGTAGTGGTCGTCGCCTTTTTTTTTTTTAGCAAATTCGTGGAAATCAAGAAGTTGCTTCACTCGTGAAATTCTTGAATCAATGTCAGAATCTGAACTAATGCCTTCATACCCCTCCCCTAACCTAACATTAACCCTAACATGTTAGCAGGTAACTGTTGTTCGGTTGAGGGAGGGGTAGGTGTGAAGTTGCTCAGATACTGACATTGATCTAAAATTTTTCAGTGGGCTCCGCAGTTATGAGGCTCGAGTTATTGGAAATCAAAGTTGTCATACACTTTGAGAAGACTACTCTAGAAACAATGCATAAGAGAGAATGACAGCGATCTTTATTTACAAGCTCTTTATGAGAAACAAAATTGTATCAAGTACATGAAGGAATTCAAAATTATAATTGTCGCCAAGTCACACAAGTTGGGGTGTCAACTTAAAAAACAGAATCAGTTCCTTCCATGTTCGTGCAAAGGTTCTTCTAAAATCGAGGCAGACGAACGCACAAGATTTTTCTATGTAGCAGACTCGTTCAAGCATTGAAAAGACGCCTCTAAATTTCGCGAGTAAACCAAGAATGGCGTACTAAAGAAAACGCATAAGCAGAAAATCGATTCCGGAAAAAAAAAACCTCTTAGTCAGGTATTGAAGGAATGCTTCTAACGCTGATTTGGTGTAAACGTAAAAGGTTTCTCTACTACTCTCGACAACACTTTTTTAACAGGATCTTGAAATTTCAAGTGATCACAGGATTAAGAACATCTCAAAAAAATTTCTTTACAATATCAGACTTCATCAACATTTCACGACATCCTTTACACTCGCGAAAAGTAAAAGGCGTAACTTCATAGGAAAAAGCTATCCAAATAGGCAATCCAGCGATTTTTCTCTGATTTTCTTTTTAGCATTCGAGATTTGACTGTTATGCGGTAATTTCCCTCAGCCAAAAGTACGTATATCATTTGATATTCAATAAATAGAAAAATAAGTAGTGAATTTGTTAGTATCTGTACAAGTTGATTGCCAATGACTATTTAATCGTAAGTTAAATTGGAAAGTATATGTCTCCAACGAGCAAATCTCTACTAGTTTCACTGTCTCAAAAATTTCATACATAAAGAGGTATCTACATACGACAAAACTAGTACTTCTAGCCCAGTCTCTTCTCCTACGCAATGAAATACGTCGCCAGAAGGGACCTCGTTCCTTTCCCCCCTTCCCCACCGCGAAAAAAAAAACACATGTCACTCACAGCTACCAAAAAGAAGAAAATCATCCATCGGATCCACCCTTAAAAAAGAAAGTTCAGTTAACGAAACATTTCCCGCGAATTTAAGGATTCAAATCAAGGACGTTATGCAATTTTAAAAAAAGAAAAAAGAAAACAAAACGAAAGGAGGAAAAAAAGGGGGAAACTGCAAGGGTCCAGTCATTATTTATCGCCTGAAAGGGGCCGAGGTTAGGAGGATTTTGGGGATCACACAGTTTTCAGGGGAACGGAGGGGGGAACTGCCAATGAATCCGAGAGGGGGGGGGCGGCGGTCATAAGAATATTACAGAGCCTCATGGGGGGATGGGGAATCAGCTAAACTCCATTGTGACACACCCAGAATCCTCCGACCACCCATCTCCCCTCCCCCTCCCCCTCCCCCCGGCGATAAATAATGACTAGTCCCTGAGCAAGGATCAACTTGAAACGTCTTCGTCTGGAATAACGGAAGTTCCTCGACGTTGCGAAGCTTATCGTAAGGGCAAATTTGACCTACATTTTGGGGGTTATCTTAATTTTCGGTGGCTCATTACGCAGAAAAAAATTTCAACATGTATAAAATCTTAAGTTACTGCAGGGCGAGGGTCCCCTTGTGGCAAATATGGCTCCATTGCCAAGTCTAAAGGGAGGTCTTAAAGAGACAAGCAAACTGTTCTTAACATGTGCTTGTGGCCGGTTCTTTCCAGTAGTCCCTTAGTTTTCCACTAATTTCCTCAATCTGACTGGACGTGATCAAATTAAAGTCGTGCAGATTCACCAAGTGAAGCAGAAAATTCCTTTCCAAGTTTCTCTCTCTTAGCTGTTGGCTGTTCTTATCGATAAATGAACGGCAAGCGTCGATTACTTGGAAGTCGGCAATGTAGCTGAAAAAGTACAACGAAAATGAAAAAATATTGATAACTTTCTCGTTGTTTCATTAAGTCATTCCTTGAAATCCCTAAGCATCGCTTAAATTACATAAAAGCCAAGAACCAAAGCAATCGCAACAGCCAATAAGAACATAGATGAAAACCGGAAAAAGAAGCTAATGACAGCTCAAAGTTGATACCTGTATACGACCTTAGTCAAGCGCGGGAAAACGCGGATGACCAAGTCGCGCTTGGTTCTAGTTTTGTAACTGATTGGTTGAGAGGGTAGCTAAAGTTTTTCTTAACCATCGGAAGGCGAGGTGAGGTAAGTGAAATTTATCAAAGGATTACTTTCGGCACTCAAATGGCAACTACGTAAAATATGTAAAGAGCTACAAACGCGAGAAAATGCGAATCGCCAAGCCGTGGTTGCCTTTAGTTTAGCATCAAACTGATTTAAAAGATAGCACGAGTTGGTAATACTTCAGTCCACGACTACTTTCGACATTCGATTGAAAATTGTTATGAACGGTCAACCGCAGTTTAACATTTTCCACTGTTGACTATGCAGTACAGATAAGATTTGACTAACACTGACGCCAATTTGTTAAAAACATTTTTGATTCAATTTTCTACTGATTTCTCATTGTCATGGTGAGTCACCAAACGCTCAACACGAAAACCAACCTGTTTTTCATCAAATGAAGATTCCAAAGTTTCATCAATTCTTTTTCTCCGTCATTCACATCAGTAAACTCATCGATTAACTGAAAATAAAAATGTAAATATATGAGAAAAAAAAAAAGAAAAAAAACCTCTCGCAACAAGTATATCCCGTGTGACTTCCCGGCAATTGTGGATAAAGAGAATGACACTCAGATGATCGAATATGCAAGGTACAACGACAATTTTCCTGCTGTGACGTTCTCATATCAAGCAAAAGATTAATGCAGGAATGAAGTCAGCAAACGAGAATGACTTAAACCAGCTTACACCCGTGTATGTAACACAGAGCGACTAGACGTATTGTTGAACCTCGTGGATGGGATGGAAACCACAGTCCATCGCAGGTTACACCCAAACATTTTGACGAGGTTCCCTAAAAACTGGCGAGTGCCCAGTCATGCTCATGGGTGTTGAGGGGTACTGTGAAGGTAGAGTGTCTTGAACAAGAACACAGCACAATGATGTATGCCTTGAGGCTAGTCCTTCCGAGCAGGAACCATGCAGGTTTAGCATAGAGCTCCACCCAAGCCTTAGTTTTTACCACCCACCTTAAACATCGCGAAAATTGCTGCACATCTCATTTCAGATCATTTAAAAAAATTCACCTGAATGGTTTTGACTCTCATCCATTCAGGAATAGTCTCATCTTCACTGTCTTGGTCCTTCTCAGTGGTTACGATTGGAAGCGTTGTCTCCGAATGGAAGTACATCCTGAAAGGAACGACAGCCTGTCAATCACGCACTTGCCACGTGAAAATGTGGACGATGGCACGTGGTGAACCTACTTCAAGTCAGGTGCGCGAGAGAGAGGCGATTAAAATATAGATTGTGGTTGATAGATTTATGAATACAGCCATTAGTATGTACCTGTGATGTCCATTGTAAAATGGTCTATTGCCGTCCAACTCTCCGTCATCAGGCTCCAAGAATTCCGACAGACTTTCTCTTCGACGTTGGGGTCTGAAGTAGAATTCAGTGATGAGTTACAAGGTACAACACCGTAGTTCTTGCTCAAATACGTCTTGGTTATTAAATCATACATCGGACGAACTATTCTTCGGTTTACCACCTTGACAAAGCGGTTAACGATCCTGCGCGACAATCCTCGCTTGCGTAGCTCGTTTAGTTTAATCACGCCATAGTCTTAGCCTGAGCGCGCCATGGTACAAGCCCAAACAATGGATACGAAAGAGATAACATTTTGGAACCTTCTCTCCTAGGTTTTCGAAACTTAAGAGCCCACTGGCCAAATTTTAACTTAAGGCACAAACAACCCCGTAACTACACAGGAATCTAAAACCAAGGGATTTAAGTGCACCCCCTTCTCCGTTTGAGGAGGGTGGGGCACACATAAACCTCTAGAGGGGGATTGGCCCTCAAATCAGATAAGATGTAAGCATTCCTTTTAGCCGGAATCAATATATTTTATAAGCACTCAGAACATGAAAATTACAAAAATTACCACGGAATCAGATAAAATACTTTAATATAAAACAAAATTATCCCAACAGGCACACCACAGAACATACGATGGATAGTATTGAGAATCGCAAGTTAAGACATGCCATCGAGCTATTTATTATTATTATTATTATTAAAATAATATTCTCAGTCACATTATAAAAAGGTGGGTGTGTGTGAGGGGTGGTGAGAAAGAAGCTTAAGTGAAAAAAATGCGTGACAATTGCGTTACCTCCAGACCACGACATGGGTAGAAGGCACTCTCCTGGAAGGTCCCTCTCGACTGAGTGCATAACCAAGAATATCATTCATGTCTTCGGGTTTACCGTCGTAGGATCCATCGTAGTTTTCGTTGACACTGACATCGATTCTCTCTCCTTTACTGTGTGGCTGAAAACGAACATGTGGCCATGGAAGATTACATGGATAAGTGTTTCTTGCGTTCTCCTGCGATATGTCTAACTACGTTTAGCATCCAACTTTATTTTTCTCTATTCTTATCACTTGTCTGCTTGATATTGAATTAACATTGCGAGGAGAAATTCTGTATTGGTCATTCATGGGAGTTAGAAGGTTAATAGCGCTACGGAAAATGCGTTTCTTTGCCCGCGGGAAGATTTGAGACGCAGCAAGGAGAGGTTTGCCAGGGGTCTGTACCAGGTCCCTCGCACACCGCTCGCTGAGTCGCACTCTTAAATGCCTTTTACTTTCCCGCATGACGAAGAAACGCTGCCGACTGCCGAAGAAATAATAACGAGGTTCTGCTCGCAGGCTAAGTTTGAAAGGAAAATTGCGATAAATGTGATTTTGTAACTGTTTTGAAACAAGTTTTTCCTTGTGATTTGACGGATCTTTCAAAACCAGTTATGTAGACGCAATGCATTACTACAAACTTCAGAAAAAAAAAAAACAAACAAAAAAAGTATGGTTGGTTAAATTCAGTGCATTTGATTACCTTTTCCCTAAGTCAAGCCTACCGCGGTCTTGAATTCATGCCCTATGAAAATATACATCTTAAACCAAAAAACAGCCCTTAATTAAAACACTCACAGCATAGGTAAAGATGAAGCGTCTGTGACAGAGTTTCAGATGTTTCAACAAACTGTACAGTCCTCGACAGTCAATAGAACACCACGGACAGAAAAAGTCATCTCTTGCCTCTGTTTGTTGGCGTGTGTTGTTGTTGTAAATGAACTGGTAAAACACTCGCTGTTTCTTTCTGCTCTCAGTGTTTCCATTGGCCTCTTCGCTTGGCGTACGCACATCGTTCGTCGAAGCCGAGTTCTGACTGGTCAGTGGCGCTCGCAACGGAAGTGACGTAGGACGCTTTGGTGGCCGCGCCAATGGAGCACCCGACCAAGAGAGTTTGAACTTTAAAGTGGGACCGTAGGCGAACACCTCAAAAGGACCCATCTGCGAAAACAGGAACATGGCTTTGATGTACAGAGATTTCGAGTCAAACTGGTCAGGGACAATGGGACACATATCTTACGTCTAAAACATCTTTTACAATCTGACCTCTGCTCGCGAGGAGGAGAATAGCCAGTGATACACCAAGTTTTCTGTCCCCCAAGCTATGCCCTTGCCTCTTTTTTGGCCTCAAGCATTGTACGTGAAGTTTCCCTCTCTAGAACTCACCTGTCCCTCAAACACGTTCTCCCAGGAGGTCCTATTGGACAGTATCCCCTTCTTCCTTCCTGGTCTTTTGTGCTTCTCGTGCAGCGCCAGCTCATAATCGCCATCCGTTAGTAAACAGTGTTTATTATTGTCAAACACGATAAGTTCAGCGGTGTACACAGTGTGCGCAGTCTCACAAGAACTTGAATTATCAGATGCATCACCATCATCCCACTCCCCCTCGGGAAAGCTCCGCCCCATACGACGTCGTTTTGTGGGGGGTTCGTCTGGGGTGAGAGTGTCATCGAGGCCTAAGGTATAGAGATTGACATAACATTACCAGAATGAGACCGCGTACATGCGTATCGAGTCTTACGTCTAAGTAACCTGCTACAAATAGGTTACCAGCAACTTAGACCTTCGAATGCGTTTACGAAAAAACATACCGTTTTCGTCCTCTGCCGTATCAGAGAGGGATTCCCCGGCATTCTTCTTCTTTTTTCCTCTCTTCTTGGTGCCTTTGTTATTGACGCGGTACGGGACACTGACTTGCAAACTGAGAATGCATGTTCGACTTGTCTTACCACTCTTAAAAGTACCGTTAGGGACGGATACACTTGATGACGGGGAAGCTGGTAACAACTGAGAGCGAGGGTTAAATGGCGCAGAGCCTTGGCCGAGAGGAACTGTGACTACTTGTGGATCACTTTCCTATAGAAAAAGAAAGAACAGACGAGCAGAGAGGAGGTTTTGTAAATCGCTCTTGGCAGGACTGAGCCGCACGTGTACAGCGCGTTCCTTTACACTTAATTTAACTCTAAACCCAAAATTAGTTAGATTTTCACTTGTCACGGAAACTTGAGGAACCGTGGAGAAAAGTTCCTGGAAAAAACCTGTTGGCCGACTAACGGCCGATTGTCAGACGGTTGGCAGTCGGTAATCTGTCGATAAGTTTTCGTAACAAAGAGGTTCGCAAAGCATTGCAGGGCGATCCGACATGCTTCATGCTTCATCGTTCGAGATATCGCATGCAGCAGAAATGATGGCTATCGGTGACTTGTCGGTTATCTGTCGGCCGACAGTCGGTAGAGAGGAGTAGTTTTTCACAATTACCAAAACTTGAGCTAACCACGAACAAACCTTTCTTCGCTTGTGACAGATTTTGACGAGAAGTACATCCACTTTAATAAAATCTTCCACGAGTAACGAGCTCTTTTTATTATTTGACAAATCACCATTCACTGCAAGAGGCGAAAATAAAACACACAAAAAATGAAAACAAAAAAGCATTTAGAAAATCAAGAATTAAAAAAGAAATAATCAGAGTAATTAATATATCGTGAACATTGTTGTGGAACTTTGAAAATCTTTCCTACAATTTCGTTTGGTGCAATGCACATTTTTCAGGTCATTTAAGCGAGGAAAAGATGGCGTTGATTTAAAACAGGAAACCTTCGCTATAAAAGTGTGTGTTTATGACAGAGTTCATGCTGGAGAAGTTTAAAAACAGATGAATATGAGACTAATTCACAAATATTTGCTGGGGAGTTGTTTTAAAAAAAACTCCATAGAAAATGGAATTTTAAGAAAGAAGGAAACGCACAATTTCAGAGGAAGATGTGGTATATTCCTCAAATGTATACCCTCCATCCAATTATAGAACGTATTCCACTATAATTTAAAAGCACAAAAATCATGATTTCCGAGAAAGCCACAAATTAGTTTTTTCATCTTCCCCTTCACTTGGAGTTTTCTTTATTTCAAATTACATTATGAAATACCTGGGCCTGATCCGTGGAAAAATCCCGTAAATGTGAGATTCATGTAGCCACTATTTTCACTGCAAATGAAGTAAAGAGACATGTATATCTAAGATGTTAGAATTTTGTTTTGTTATTTGTTATCTCAAAACAACTTCAGTTTATAAATTTCTTCTGTATTCATCAACAATAATTTCAATCGTCTCCTTCACAATGAACGTATTGAATGGAGTAAAACCCTGCTCAACATATCACAAACCACACTAATCATGACATTGCAATATCTTTGATTAACGTTAAATAATTCAAGTGATTTTTCAACGACCAATATTCTTCAACAATACACTCTCCAAATGTAATTTCTAAACTTATTTCTGATAATATTTGCCCTTAGTTAATATCTCACGCAATTGCTAACGAAAATGTTGTCTCTTTTCTAGGAGTCATTTCTAAAATTGCAGACATATCAAAGCTAAATCGGACAGTATATGAGGTAAAAGGATTTCATAGAGGTTTCATGATTGACGTTGTACTGAAACAGTGTTGGTGGAGAAGAAATGCAGAAAAGGAACAAATATGCAACTTCAGTTTTAAAGGAAAAAGCAAAACTTTAAAAGGGTATAAAAGACATCTAAGATTCTTATCAAAAACTAGTTTTACACTAAATTAGAGTCTGTAAAATAAAAATAACTTTCTTTGCAGGAGCCAGTATACCATTAAGATACTTTTTTGTGGCAAAGTTAGAGGCCACAACGAGAGCATGAATTTACAGGTATCAATTTGAACAGAAATTGCAAATTTATACAAAATTTCAACTCTTCCAAATGGGTTCTTAGCTCTACAAATTATCAGAATATTTTTATTGTTGAAAAGCATATGTGGTATATGATTTCTAAAAAGACCTTAGGATGAAACCACAGTAGGGATGCTATTTAGCAATGCTTTGTGCATTACCAAAGAGTGATGGATGTTGTTTGAAGTTTATCCAAACAATAAAGTATGAAAACAAAGTTTAACATTTTTGTGAAGCAAAAGTTCGCTGATTAATAAATCTTCCCTCAGTTCAAACATGGAACTCACAGAGGATCTCCTGTATCTGATCTGTTGTTTTCATTTTCAACTTTCTCAAGCATGTCATCAATCTTGAAACTTTTCCTGCCGAGAAGAAGAAAATTAAGACTGCCTTTAAGTTATTGAGACAAAGGAATAGATCTTAAACTTGGGAGAGATGAGGGAATGGAGCTTAGAGATCATTTGGACTAAACAACATGGAAATGGTTTTTGCGCATGTCTTGGTACTTAAAACTCTCAAATACTTTCCTTCTTCTTGCTATTATAATTTCAAACAAGCTACATTTGCGACAGATGTTTCAGTGAGTCTTGGATTGTTCTGTTTGTCATCCACAGAATGGAAAAGTTGGGCAAAAAAATTAAGAAGAAAAAATTAAAATGTGTTGTTATGACAACACAATAGTCAAGCTTATATATATTTCATCAAGATTATGCGTAGTTAAGGGATAATATAAGTATACTAAGTTGATAACTATTTACTTAAAATGACAAAGAAGACAACAGCCAAGGGTTTTAGAGGGATGACTTTTTTGTTTCAATTTTATTTAAAACAGTAATCTTTTAAGTGCTTTGTATTTGACTTACATTAACTTCTAGATAGGAAGGCTAAAATGAAGAGTAGAGATGCAGTTTAAGTGATGCTTTTGAGAAACATTTTCTGAATTTTTTTGGTGTAATGATTGGAATTCCAAACAATTTTTCAATAGACAATGTCATTTTTCTGTTTTTTATAAAATTCCCTAAGATACCAATGAATGCTTTTGCAGGAGAAGTTTGATTTATATTTGAATACAATTAGACAAATACTATGAAGTAATAATTTAAGTGGCTGGTTATTCTTCCTCTAATACCTTCTGGATTGAAGGATAATTAAAAGATTTAAAAAAAAAACCATAACCTATGTTTACAAGTACAAATCAACAGTACAGTAGAACCTCACTAATTCAAACTCCGTGCTAACTCAAATAAAGTGTGATTTCCCAAAGATTTCACCCTATTTTTTTGTTCATTTCTAACCAGCTATCTTGAACTTGGTTAATTCATACTAATTTGACTTTCCCTAAGCTTACATTTAACCTGGTAACTTACACATAAAGTTAAAACATTGGTATATATTCACGAACTCACTTGTTCCCCTAGGGAGTTTGAGTTAGAGAGGGTTCTACTGTGTAGTGACCTTGGCTACACGGCAATGAAAAATTAGTGTAATTAATTGAAATGCGAGGTGATCATTATTTCAGATTAGACACAACTATCTTTAAGCACATGATTTGTAATTGTGGAAAAATACTCCAGCATTACAAAAAATTGGAATTTCTCGAAAAATAGGTAAAAGTTTTTAGGTATCTATCAGCCTTAATAACGTCGTTGTTCTAATTGGGGCATCTGTTTGTCTATGTTTCATCCATTCATTTAATGTGTCTAGCATTCACTGCATTTTATTAACAAAATGATCTTTTCTTGGACAATCAGCTAGTTATACGAGTGATATCCAATTTCTCTATCTGTACAGAACTCTCTAAACACAGGACCTCTTCTGTACAATTTAGGGACCTGGCATCTTTGTTCGAAAGCTAGAACATGGCGGATTGCATGGGGCCAAAATCATTCACTAAACAAAAATATCAAGATGAGTAGCTCGTTTAAGGAAGAAGGGTTATCTTAAAAAAAACTATATATACATATATATTAACCAGAATTAACAAAGACACGTGTTTGATCGCCACACGTGTCGGGTCCTTTTGTTTTAAAGTCATAAAAATTTCCTGATATTCGGTACAATAGCTAATAGATTTACATGAAAAAATTACTGTATCCCTGTCCTAAAATGAAGTAATTTTTCCCTGGTGGTCAACCAAAATCCCTTCAATAAGGCTTTGAAATATACTCACCGCTTTTTCGTGGATGCCGGTCTGGTTCGACGATGCTTCATATAAGACAAAGTACGATGAAGAAATACGGGCTGCAACAGATATTTAAATGTGATCAGGAAACCAGCTTGTTTTATGATCTCGTATCGACATAGGCCCTAAATATGTGAGTGCACTTTATTTTCTTTCCTAAGGATTTCAAATACTGCAAATAAAGACAAATTTTGGTACAAAACGGATAGCAAAAGCATAACAGAGGTCCGTTTGCATAAAATTAGTTAAATAAATGTGTACCTACCGCGACTGCATTTCTCGTTCGAAGAAAGCGATAAATTTGTGTGGGTTCTAAATGCGGAAGAGTTAATCAATTAGAAAGTGAAGGACAATTCCATTCAACGGGATGAAGCGAAATTGATCGAAGTATTGTGTATCTTTCTTCGACTCAAAACAAACTCACTTACTTTCGAAAGCTTGAAGAAATAACTCGTGATCTGCTCGAAGTTGTTCAAATTTTGTCTTCTTGGGACTCGGATAGATCACATCAGCCTTCTCGCTGGTCATTTTAGCGAGGTTTTTTTGCCGTGTTGTGGACAAGAAACGGCAGAATCCTTTCGCCCTTTCACTTCCTGGCGTTTGAGAACCGCGCGAAATGCACGCGAGCGACGACCGCAATGTAGCATGGGTATTTTGCGCGAAAGAAGCTCGTGGAGTTTTTCGGCAAAGAAGAAGCTGCTGGTAGCATAGAAAGTGGAAATGAACCCTGTGCTCTGGTAACAACTTATGTGCCGAGCAAGAGCGTAGCTAAGAAATTTTCATAGCAAAAGCATGTAAAATCAGTGACAGCCGAAAATGCTCAATCGCTTCCGAGTCATGGAACCACGCTATTCTCAAATATTTCTTCTGCTGAACTGAAACAACCTTTTTCTTCGATCCAAAGCGGTTTGCCTCGGTTTGTCTTCCAGGGAGCTCTTGAAAGAGAGGACAGGCTTGATAAAAATGTAAATTACAGAATGTCAGCAACACCTTGTCTTCCGTCTTCCTTTTTCCGAACTTTGCTCATGCGAGGATAAAAATAGTGATGAGATAATATTCCTTGGTTGTACAGTCGTAATAAAAAATTGTTTTTACGGTATACCTGTCGTACTAGATATCCAGATAGTTGTATTACTACGGTAATCAGTGCAGAAGAAATAAAAGAACACCTTACAGTTATCAATTAGCAGCATACACGTGGTTCAATTTGATCTTTCGAAGGTTACTTACCAATTTAGCCTACCATCACCCTGGCTTGTTACCCTGCTTGTTGCCTCGTAATCTCTCGCATTAAAATTTAAGGCACTGTGATGCTCTACGCTTCTTTCGTCAAGCTTCTTCTGGCTAATAACCACATGTAAGCCCGATATCGTCTTGGTGTATGATTTATACACCGAACTAATCATTATGAGGGAAAGAGTGGCGTGTAGTGGTGCATAGGTTCTACCTTGAGGGTAAGTTTTATTGAAAGTTTATCAAATTTATTCAGGAAAAGGGAGATATTTCACGTTAAGACAAGGGCGTAGCTGAGGGCCCGGGGGCGGGGGAGGAGAAGGGGGAAGTGCCAGATGCATGTGCTCCTCTGCAGCCCTAACTTTAAAGGACCTCTGTCAACAATCATGAAATCAATGTTATAGTCTTTTTCTTGTTTCATACTCCAGTAGACTTCAGTATCAGCGAAAGCTTGCGGAGCTAAGTTCACTAATAACGAGTCGGCATCCAATAAGTTTAGATAGTTTCCCTTTTGAAACCTCAAGAATTTAGTGTCACCATCAACACTCCCTCAGATGTTAATTTACTGGGTGGTGTACCTAGGTAGACTAGTGCTTCGGCGCTATTTTTATTCCCACCTGATTAATGATTTATTTATCTATTTATTCATTTATTTATCCAACTATTTGACTTTCTTATGTATTTTTGTTGTGGTGGAGAAATGGAATAATGGAAGACCTTACTCAGCGCGTGTAAAGCAGAACTGTGCCCGTGAGCAGGGGAAGAACCATGAGCAGCGGCAGTTACCATTGACAACCTTGAAGAAAAATGGCGGACGAAGCATAAACTAAAATTTGTTTGGAAAATCGTCGATTATTCTTCCTCAAAATGTACGCGGCACCATGTAGCCCGTCTTCTTCTATATTCAGTGAAATGCTGGAACTCAATGCAGCAAGAAATAGCAGCAAACGGGACTATTCAGAGGAGGAACAATTATCTGTTGGAAGTAGTTATGATGCTGCTAAAAGTTCACCAGTATTTTTTGGTCGCTACGGACAAAAACTTTCCGATTCTGTTGCTGAAATTCGCGAAGGAGAAGATGGCACGTCGACAAGATCCTCAATGTTTCCCGAATTTGATGCCTCCATCAATCATCCCGCAACTTTTGGTTATGTTTTGTTGGATAGAAAACCAGTTGCGCCTCCAAAACAAGAATCTGTACCTTTACCTCATCCCAAAGAATGTGAGTAGTAGATAAGGCAGGGGACATTCATTAGAATAAGTACGGTACTAGAGGTTCATCCCAATTAATTTTGAAGAAAAAGGGAAAGATATCTGTGTAACCCCATGCTATTCTAAAGCAATGCTCATGTCTCAAAGCTAAACTTCCTTTTTTTCATTATTTTCTTTTGTCATTGAACTGCATGTGTTAATGATGTATTCTAAAAGTTATGTCTGTTCTCGAGCCCTCTGGCCCACCCAGCCAGAGCTTATACCAGTTTCTAAGTAGCATGAAGCAACTAATTAGTACTCCCCACTGGATAGGATGCCAGTCTACTGCAGGAAAGCATTTTATCAGGCTTCCTAACACTATTGGCCAGTACCTATTTTGCCCAAGAACAGAACACTTTGACCTGGCCAGGTCTCAAACCTTCACTTCTTGGCTGAGTCCAGTGAAGCAAACATTAGGCCATGGTGTACTGTCTTTGGAGGAGATGAACTTTCTATCATGCATCAAAGGATGCCACAGATGCTGGAAGCCACACTAATGGATTTTGAATAATTTCTTAAAGATTTCTATAAAGCCCTAAACTATTCTAAATCAACACTGTAGTCCCAAAGGTAATCTACTGCTTTCACCATTGTTTTCATTATCCAAGAACTGTATGTTTAATGAAGTCCTCAATTGTGTGGAAATCATGCTATAATTTCCTCCACACCAGTGTTTTTGGTTTCTTTCCACTGCCTCACACAACTACTGTTTGATGTGTTTCCTTATATCTTTTAAACTACAACACCTGGAAAGCCAATGAAAGTTACAGTAGGTGATGCATTTTAAGTTATAGTTTCAAAAGCCTCTTTTATCACATTTCCTCATTATAAATCAGGTGTTTTCTAAGGTAAGCACTTTCAAGACTCCAATCTTCAAACCTTTCATAGAACTTTGTGTTTTCATTGGCATTACTGGGTATACAGCGGAAGAGAATAGAGACAGCTCACCTGGTACACATTTAAAAAGATCAATGAGAAGGGAAAGGAGGAATATCAAAGGAAAAGAGAGAAAAGGAGAAGAAAATGAGATTTTCAAAATAGAACTTTTTTTCCTAGAGGAGGGGGCTCTCTCTAGCATGTGTGTTTATACTCATTTGCAATGAAGGTGTATATCTTATTGAGGAGCATAAATGAAAATGCTTTACAATGTAAGGATTTTGGAATGGAAATACTTACATTGCAAGGTAGCCTGTGTACAGCTGCCTCCTACCCTCCAAAATAAAATTGAGAAGTGCCTTTTCCAATTTTCTTCTGGAAGGTAAGGAGCAGCTGCACGAAGGGTAGTGCCTAGTTCCATTCTTGACTTTTCTGCAAGTCGCCATCTGGGGAGCTGAAGTTATAAAATGGTCATCAGAAATCAAATTTGAGGCTGCCAAAAAAAAGAGACACCTTGGGTGATATTACATGATAAATTAAACCGCCAACTGCAGTGCTTGTCACTGGAGTGAACAGTTAGGCTGGAGTTTGTATTAGAGATTTGCGTGTCATTGTCATTTCTCAAGGTCAAATCAACTGAGGAGAATGAGGCAAATTTTTACAGTTGAAAATGACAGTGCATGAGTATTTTGTAAGAAAATTTTCATACCAGTTTGCAGAGGTTGCCTTTCCTCATACTGCAACCCATCTTAGAAAAAAGGTAATTATGTTTCTCATTTGTGATTTTCACCATTACAGGCAGTCCCAGAGAATACCTAGATGCTTATATGTTTCCAGTTCTTTTACCAGCAATTGAGCAAATGCTGATAGCTGCCAAAGAGAACAAAGTGTTTGAGGTTTGTTTTTCATTTAAATTACTTTTAGGGTTATGTATGTTGATGTGCGTGTCCTCTGTATATTTTACTCTAGAAGGACAGAGCATGAGGAATGTTTAGGAAATGTTAAGCTGTCTCTCTGGTCTGATTTATTCTTTATTCTATACTTTTTCCATAGAGGAGAAGAACAAAGTTTAATGCATGTGATTTTTTGACGGAGTTCTTGTTCAGGTTAGCAGATTGCATAATTATAATATAATATTATATATTAATTACAGTTCTGATTTTGGAATAAAGGGAATTTAGACTCAGAGATGAGGACTGAAGATTCATGATAGGTTACCTGGCTTTGCAGAGAAATAAATTACAGAGAAACCATTTCTCTCAAGCATCATGTCAACAGGAAAGCAAATATGAAGTTTTACTATGCAGAGAATTGACAGAGCAATAATTGACATCTTCAAAAACCCAGGTGGTGTAAGTTGGACAGCAAGAAACAATTGAAGTGAAAGGGAGTTTAAAGTTGCACAAAATGTTGTGGTCAAATCCCTTTATTTCTGTCCTTTCTAGACTGAATTTTCCTTAATTATTCCATTAGGATGCAGCTGTTAGATCTCTGATCAACATAAGTGCTATTCACTCAGCCAAGCCAACTAATGCGAAAACAAGTTGCAGCTGAGATAGGAAGTGATTCAGCCATATAAGTGGTACCTTTTAACCCATACATGTCTCATACAAGCTGTAGTATATGTGAGACACAATAAGTACATCCTATAGCTAGGGAAGTTTCAGGTCATTCTATCTTCTGAGCTGCAACACAGATCACTGAAGAGAAGGATAATGTACCTTCTCTCTTGTGCGCAGGAACAATCCCAGATACAAGGATAGATCTAATGTAGTACTGGAAGACATTCCTTTTGTGCAAACAATACTGGCAGAGAAGTAAGTTATCTTAGTATCTCAAATGACTTAATGTAATCAATGATTAACTCAGAGCTAATTGCAATAGTTGCAGTGCCTAGAAGTGACTAGATACTAGGAACAGGGGGTGGATTTCACCTGCATCAGACTGGTGTCCAGTCCAAGAGAAGTAGAAATGGCTCTCGCTGTTTCATGGCGTGGAAACCAGGATAAGCTCCTGCAGTAATAAGCTATGATGATTGTAAAACTTAATCTAATTTTAGCTTGTGACTATGGACAGCCCTTGTCTTTTTTAAGAAGTAAACTATTTTTTTCTCTCTTTGTTTTATTCTTGTAGTCCTCGCCCTCCTTTACCATTGTCTTTGCTTCTCAGCGATGAGGAGGCCGCGATCATCATTCAGTCATTCTTCAGAGGATATCTGGTAAAACTTTGCAATTTCTATAATTTTCCTTTACCTAGAAATATCAGAAATGCAATAAATCATCTCGTTTTGAATGCCAAAAACTGAAATGTCTCGATAGAGGCTGACCTTTTTTCAACCTAAGAATATGATAAGAACTCGTACTACGGTTTGGAAAACAAACATGTACTGATGCTTTTCTTTTATCCTTAACCGTTTGACCCTTCAAAGTGACCAGCATCTAATTTCTCCTCACAATATCACCCCTGAATCACTTATTAAGGTCACAAGAGTAAGGCAAATGATCACCAACTAACGAAGGTTTGGATCGTTCAACAAATTCTCTTCGTTGGCACCTTAGGAATGTTTAGACAACAACATGGAGAATAGGCACGTTGATCTTAGAGTGTAAAGGGTTAATTAGCCTAGGAAACTATTTTTCTTGCCAGCTGGTTTTGTTGAATTTTCTCAGTACCGATGGCTTCTACACCCACTGATCTGTTAACGCTATAACCTAGTGCGGAGAAGTTATAACGTGCCCTTGTAGCAAAAGTTGCAGTAAAGGTCTTAATACAGTCTCTTTTTAATCCACAGGTGCGCAAACATCCAGAGGTTCAAGAGTTAAGAGAGTACCAGAAAGAAATGAGAAATGTAAGAGATTTTGAGAGAGAGCACTCTTAACTAAAACATATTTAGCCTGTTCCAGGCGTTCAGTTAGTAAAACGAAGCGCGATACCAAACGATGCGATAGTAGGGGAAAAAAACGACGGGGCTTGGGTCGGGTCGCACCAAAACATTCTTCGTTTTTTCACTCCGCTACTATCGCGTCGTTTGTTATCGCGCTGGATGGGGTCGTACTACTAAATCAAATACAATGGGGTTGCATTTTCAGTGAAGTTACTAGAATGGGGTCACACATTTTCGTTATTTTGGGATGAAGAAAAATCTGGTGAGTAGGGATTTAAAAAATGGGACGATTCACCAGTCAAAAGTTGTCAACGGATTATCAAACTAAAATACAGTTAGAGTTAATCGGGGTTATTACATGATCCATAATGGTTTAATATCGCGTGCTGTACTGTGTTACAGCGCACAAAGGAAATAAACGTCATTCTTGAATATCCCAGTGGTCTAAACATGTGCTCATTACTGAGTTTTGAAAAGAGCAGCAAACCTCATTTTTATTGCCAATTTCTCCCCCTCCTTATTTTTGTGGTCGTAATTTCTCCTCCCCATCGAGCTCCTAGGCTTTATTAATCTCCCATCTGCTACTACGTCCACTCCCCCTCTTGAGTTATAATTCCTGTTTATCCGATTTCCGCTTGCTTGGTGCTGCCAACGCTTTCAGAAAGTTCTGCCCGTGCGTGGAAACACATCCTTCCCTTCGACCGCATGCTGAGTGCCAGATTAAGTAGGAGCAGTTATTAGTAATTAGATTTTAGTATTAGCTCTAACTTTTGAAAATTATTGTAAAGCGCTTAGAACAGCAATGTATAAGCGCCATCGAAGTGATGTTATTATTGTTATTACGTGGGCCTCCCTCTTGTTTCAATTTCTCTGTCGACTCTGAATTTGGTTTTTTTGTTAACTTTCGCTCTAGGAAGCTGTCGACATTTTCTTAAAAGTGGAAGACTTCTGGAAGAAGCATCCAGTGGAGGATGGAGACGAAGAAGAAAAGAAAGCTGATTAATTATTTCTTCGATATTTTTGTACAGAACAAGATACCTTTACAAAGAGCAGTTCTTATGAAGGGAAATATTTATTTCGCCATCGAACTTGTTCGTTGCAAGTGCCAAAACGATGAAAATATGAACTACCTGATACTGTAATTTTATACGGTTACCACCCATAGTAGTAACTTGAAAGAAAAAGTCAGTTTGTTGTTGTGAATAAGTGATCTTTAAATATAAATCGACCCTAAGAAGCTTTGATCTTGAAACGTACTCTTCTTGTTAGTGGAAGAGAGAATGTAGGACAAAGATTATGGATATTGATGTTAGGGTGTAAGGAGTTAAACCAGATTCGAGGGCCGCTCTTTTAGTCAGAGTTCATAATATAGTTTGTTTCTTGCCAATTTAATTCGATAGTTTGTTGAAATTAAAGCCGGTCTAAAATATGAGCCATGTGGGTATCCTTGTCAAAAACTGATTACGTAATGCTGTCAAATGGCGAAGTCGGCATGGGGAATTTTTCGGGCTGGCACCCCAAATTTTGGACAAAATGGTAAAAGAAACTAGAACCACGCACAGTCTACTGCAGGAAAGGCAACTAAAAGCCATGCTTTTGCTTCCAGTTCTTGATTGGCCGATTGAGTTGTGATTGACAGGATGAAGAAACTCTTGGTTCACGCTAGTCACGCGAAAGTTGCGAAACTGTGAAGGTTGCGAAACATTGTTTTGAGAGCCGTCGGCCAACCTGGTACGAAACTACACAACTCTATTATCATTCATGTTACTAGTGATAATGAAAAATGTTTCTTGTGTCCCCGTAGTATAACCCGTGTGTCTGATCATCTCCTGAAGCTCTTGCAATACTTATTTTGGAAATTGCCTGTTGTAAGATCACAATCATTCGTTCATGACGTCCATATTTACCAACGAGTGTCAATGGACTTTTCACAGATTCTATTATCTCGACTAGATTTCAAGGCCACTAATTCTTGATTGAACATAGTGAACTTGAAAAATTAGCATAGAAGCGCACAGAAACCAGGTACATGTTGTCCGGAAGCAGTTATTGTAATCTTGTTGCTGCGATTTAGGTACAAAAAATAATCTTCCATCTTATGCAAGGTGCGGTAATATTGCATTGTCTTTTTTCCAAACCAAGCAGTTTCATCTCGTGCAACCTAGGCAGGTTGTGAAAGCTGTTTATTAAACATTTGAGCGCACGCGTTACCTGAGGCATGAAAGTACTTTTCCCGTGACAAAACACCTGTTTTTGTCTCTTAAAAGTGGAAGATCTCGTGATCTTTCATGGCGTGTCAAATTGACGAAGCAAAATGTTTTGTGATGTGGAGGCGTCGCCTAAAATGAGCAATTTCTACGTGTTACCTCGTGACGTGTGAAAGTCACGCTGGATCAAAGTACAAGGGGGCCCGCAGTTTTTATATCGCGATGTAAACATAAACACAAGCATGCGCAGTTTGTGATAGGACCGGTGAACACGTTGTGGTTCCTTTTAGTAATTTCTGGGAATTGGCAAGAGGAGAAGCCGTTCAAGATGGATGTGATTGTGTTTTTGGAGCCTTGAATTGTGTCTATGAGTGACTGAAGGCTTCCAGGATGTCAGCTGATGACTTTGTGCACTACGATTCCTTTAGTGAGGAGGACGAAGACGAAATAGTAGATTGGCAGCTACCACTATGTTTTATGAAGAAGCGCCACAGAGAACAGATCGAAGGTTCCAGATCTTTAGCTCAAACGTGGCGTATGAAGGAGCGAGTAAGTGATCCAGTCACGGAGTACTCCTTCTCTTGTTTGTCGTGTTTCGTGATGCCTTTTCCTAACGCTGAGTTATCGATTTCGCTTTGTTTCAGATGAAGACCGTCAGTGTAGCACTAGTGTTATGCCTAAACATTGGGGTCGATCCACCAGATGTCGTGAAAACCTCACCTTGTGCAAGAATGGAGTGCTGGATCGGTTGGGAAAATTTTTAATTCTTTAAAACATTCCTTTCATTTTTGTTTTACTTGTTATGAGGGCGCCATTAATTTCCGGCTTGTTATTTATCAAAACCCACCTTTACCGGTCAAACTTGTTCAGTATGTGTACATAACTTTGTACATTTCCATGCTCATTCATCACAATTGGTTGCCTAGAAAATGAAATTTTGCACAAATTAATACTAAGGAAATCAGAAAAACAACTGCGTTACTTAAAAAAAAAAATTGAACTTTGCGCACATTGAGTAATTGCGCAAGATTCATCCAATTAAATAACTCGGTGATGATTGCCTTGTTGGCAACCGTCCCCATCAATTCGTCTTTGAGCATCTGTAAATATGGCGGGTTCGCGAATCATACTTGATACAGTTCGAGTGAAGTATAGTGCCCCCAATCAGCCGATTTTTATGTTTTTACAATAAGTATTCTGAATGTATGATCTTCGTTCTTGTAGTAGAAGCAATTATCAAGAGTCAGGTAGCTCTGCAATCGCCTACACCCCAAATATTTATATACAACCCGACTTTCTCAGCACACTATTGATGTTGTTGAATTACAAAACATACCTCCAGGTTATTTTTAAAAGAAGATTACTGTCCCCTTGTTAGTTATAAGTGACAGGAAGCTGAATGTGCACAGTATCCAATAAACTACAATTCTGATGAAATCCTATGCAAGTTTAGGATGTCATGAAACATGCCCACACATGTTTTAATTGTATCAGATGCAGTGCCTGGTAAATTTGTTTGAACGTGCAAACTGTTTATGATGGCTGTATCATCAGTCTCTTTCCTCTCAGTACTGACACAAAACTGCTTCTAAATCTTAATGAACTAATGTCCTTAACTGTAAGAACTCAGTGCTGATTTTATTGTAATGTTCTTATAGTATTGGGTATTGTTCCTAGTGGATTTAGACACTTTTTCCTTCTGCTAGTAATAGAATAGCTCAGATTTTTAGCAGGCTACTACTTGTTGTGGCATGCAACATTGGTAAGTCAATTGCAAAAAATAATAAACATAATGTACCTAATTTATGACATTAAAATAGAGAACTACCAATCTGGTAGATAGAGGATGTTTTAATGGTATGTAATTGTCATGGAGAGATATCTCTGTATTTTACAGATCCTTCATCTATGAGTCCGCAGAAGGCTTTGGAAATTGTTGGAAACAAATTGCAGGAACAATATGAACGTTGGCAGCCAAGAGTAAGATGAAGTTTTTGACATAACTATTTAACTCTGAAGAGTGACCAAGAGAGAATTTCTCTTTACATTATCAGTAGAAAATCAAGAAGACAGTAATTAGAATGATGAAAAATATCAATAAGGAGATTATTAGTGATCCAATACTAAATTCTCCAAACTATTCATCAGGAGTATTATATGGCAGACAATAAGAAGAATTATTTATGAGATCTTGAGAGTGTAAGGGCTAATGTCTGATATATGCTTAGAGCCCTTTTTGACTGGTCCATTAAAAATTTGGTTTAAAATAGACTATTAGTGATATCAAGTCAGTTTGAAACAGAAGAGGCTGACTAAGAAATAACATTTTCCTTTCAGGCTCGTTACAAGCAGAGTCTTGATCCCACTGTAGAAGAAGTAAAGAAATTGTGTTCCTCATTACGACGAAATGCAAAGGTACTCTTTTTTAAGTCGTAAGATATTGTTATTAATTACCTGGTGTTGCCTATCCTTTTGAAATTCAGAGTAATCTAGTAGTTTTAACGCAGTTTTGTTTTGGACAAGTGAATTTGATATTAGTTAGTTAATTAATGATTTAGCTCACTTACTGGAAGTACCTGCTACTCTCTTTTTGTGGCCAGTTAAGTGATTCCCTTGTTAATACCTCAGCCTAAATCTATTCTGATCTGCTGCCTTATTTTGTCCTCAGCTAATCATCAGTTAGTTTTTTTCCAATCTCTTTCTAATAAGGCAACAAGATAGGATCACCTTTTAACTCTCAAAAATTGTAATCATGTAACTTCAATCTTTTATTTATTGCTTAATGTGAAAGTCAAGAAGAAGTTGAGAGCTTCCAGCCTGTATCTGAAACATTAAAAATTTGGTCACATCTTACATTAACTCTCTAACTCCCAGCAGCTACAAACATGTTAATTCTCCATATAATATCTGTACATTATCCAGCAAACAGGTAAGGAGAATACTCAAACTAATCAGGTAAAGGTTGTTATTGTGATCTAAAAGGGTCAGAAGAACTCTTAAGGATGGGTTTTGATAGTTTCTGAATTATAAATTGTCTGAGAATGATTCAAATTTCTTTTGAAATAACAGGAGGAGAGAGTGCTTTTCCATTACAATGGACATGGTGTTCCAAGAGCAACAGCAAATGGGGAGATTTGGGTCTTTAACAAAGTAAGTTGGTCCATTTTTGAGCTTAAAAATGCTTTAATTATTGGTGGCTGGTAAATTTCATTATCTACTCATGCCCTTGTAATCCTTTTTGTGATAATCTTTTTTCTTTTTTTTTTCCCTTCAGAGCTACACTCAATATATTCCATTGTCAGTGTATGACCTACAGACGTGGATGGGAAGTCCTTCAATCTTTGTCTATGATTGTAACAATGCTGGACTTATAGTGCAGTCGTTTATTCAGTTTGCTGCCCAGCGTGAGCAGGAACAGGAGGTTATTGACAATTGTGTGTTGTGGGAAAGTGAAGGCTCTTGTGTTGTAATTCATTAATAAAGTTGCTAAATTTTATTTTGGGATTTTGTGACATGTGTAGTCCTGTTAACATTGCTCCAGAGAAATCCTTGCAGTTGATTTGGTGAAATTCATGAAAAAAGCAAGAATTTTTGAATGACAGTAAAGAGTTCTTGAGATTTGAATTGTGCACACTGCTATATGTACAGGAATTAAGTGGATCAAAGCCATGTTTTATCTCATGAAATCAGCCATGTAGCAAATTGAGGGTATTGACAGTTTTCTAACCTTGTGAATTTTGAGGGATTTATAACCAAATAATTTTTGACATGTAAATTTAATTTTCTGCTTATAATAAAGTTGAATTTAATGAAATGTTTTTAGCGCTGCTTGGCTCAGGGTACCCCTATCCCTGTCCCACATGTGGTTAAAAACTGCATCCAACTGGCAGCATGTGATGCAAACCAGCTACTGCCAATGAACCCAGAGCTTCCTGCTGATCTGTTCACTTCTTGTCTGAGTACACCCATTAAAGTGGCACTGCGATGGTGAGTTGATAACTCTGAGTCTCGGGCAAACCATGCCCACCATGCTTACTTATTTTTTGGCTGCGTCATATTATGAAGCAGTTCTAATGGGAATTTTTTTTTTTTTTTTAGGTTTTGTAGTCAAAAAAGCAGCAAGCTGGTTCCTGGTATCACCCTTGACTTGATCGAAAAGTAAGATGGTTATCCCAATTTATATTTCAGTGTTGTAAATTTACCATGATGGCTGTTTCCCTCTGTAGGGTGAGCAAGATGAGCAAATCGTGGGATGCTATCAGCAGCCTGAGTGGGTGGGATTTGTCCTAGCCCCCTCACCCTTAGAAATGCTGGCTTTGGTCCTGTGGAGAGAGAAAGAGAGAAAAAAGTCTTTGTGGCTAGTTTACAGAAACCAACTTTACTTCGCAGCAAAAACTTTGATTTAAACTGAATATATACTTGTGCAACTATAGTGTTGCTTACTACTTTTGTACATTATGCACAGGATTCCAGGTCGCCTAAATGACAGAAGAACACCCCTAGGAGAACTGAATTGGATTTTCACTGCAGTTACTGATACCATTGCATGGAATACCTTACCAAGAGGTAAGTAACAGAGGCATCAATATTGTTGCAAAAGCCAACAGTTTTCCTTCATTTAGTTACCAAGAAATTAAAATGGATTGTGGTATAAACATAACTTGGGTGGGGTTCTGTTGACTCCTTGGGAGTTGGTATTATATAGCTTTATACCTCTCCGGATTTTGCTCATTGACCTTAGAATATCCTATTGTCTAAGATTTCTCTTGAAAAAAAAACAACTGTTAGTAATGTACTGGCACTTAAATCCTTTAGAGCTCTTTCACAAGCTATTCAGGCAGGATCTGTTGGTAGCAAGCCTGTTCAGGAACTTCCTTTTAGCAGAGAGAGTGATGAGGTCATACAACTGTACACCTGTGTCTAGTCCCAGACTTCCCCCAACGTACATGCATCGAATGTGGTAAGTAAACATATTTTATGAGATATTTTGGTGGGTAGCATCACTGAGTTTAACATATTTCTTTTGATGATTTTGGCAATGTGAACATTATGTCTGATTTATGGTGGAAATCTGTTGGTGAATTTAATGATTGATTGTATTTATTAGGCAAGCTTGGGATTTAGCAGTTGACATTTGTTTGTCCCAATTACCAGATGTGATTGAAAACCTAGGGAATTTTAAGGTATGTGCTTTTCTGTTTACCAGATGAATGTTATGTTCTAAGGCAGAGCTCGAAGAATGTAGCACAGTGATCCCAACACAATACGGTGACCCAATGCAGTGCCCTGGCCAGGGGTTGAACCAACACCCCTTTGATCTGTAGTCAAGTGTGGTGTCTTTAAGCCCACCTGCTATCTACTAATGGACATCTTCCCTATTTCCTCTTCCAGCATAGTACATTCTTCACAGAGCAATTGACTGCATTCCAGGTGTGGCTAGCTATGGGTGCAGAAGACAGGGACCCCCCTGAACAGCTGCCAATTGTTCTACAAGTGCTACTGAGTCAAGTGCATAGATTGCGAGCTCTTGATCTACTGGGGAGATTCTTGGATTTGGGGCCTTGGGCTGTAAATCTTGTGAGTTTTAAGGGTTTTCATTGAATAAGTGGACACCTGCTGTTGAAAAGTAGATAGTATTTGTTATAAGGCTGTGCAGTCAATCTCGAGCTTCTTATTACGTGGATTAGCTTCTTAGCTAAAGTACTTAAGAGTGCAGTAGTCAGCAGAGTCCAACAGAGTGATTGCCAAACTATTTCAGCACCTGCCTCCTACATATGCTTTACCCACAATTTTGTTTGACTTTTGTCAGCCTAAAGGTCCCAAATATATTTCTTTTTGTTTTTCTTTTTCAGGCACTTTCAGTTGGCATCTTTCCTTATGTGCTTAAGCTTCTCCAGAGTTCAGCAAGAGAGTTGAGGCCTTTGTTAGTGTTCATCTGGGCAAAGATTTTAGCAGTTGATAGTGTATGTCCACCTTGAGATTATCATTAAATTTTTTCCTTTTCCATGTGACTTCAATGGACTTGATTCTCAATTCTGATTGGACAGGCTATACAGTTGTACAGTAGCTGCCATAGGGCCACAAGAATCTGTTTCTACATGTAAATATAATGTGGGTTGGCTGAACAAAAATTTAAAATAGATTTTTAGATTAGATGTATGGGTGTATGGACATGATTGCACTGTTTTATTTTTGACATTTTGTGATAGCACATATCTTCTTACAAAACATGACACTAATGACATTTCTGATCCTAGCGGTATGCAGGATGCATGTCATGTATATAATCTTCCTAATGGGCCTTGCCTACCATAGTCTCTGTGGTAAAGCAGTGGAGTGCAAAATCTGAAGGTCTGAGGAGATTTTTGTCCTGTGCTTGTGACAAGACAAAAAAACATATTTCTCTTCATCTTTACCAAGCTCAAAACTTACCATCTTATTTTATTTACAAGAGTATAAATACTTCTGAAAGCAAACAACTCTTTAAAACTTCATCACTCATAAACAATAGACATTAAGCATAGTCCTGAAGATGCCCTGAAAAACTAGTAAATTTGTCAAATTTGCTTGTGTTACTTTTTGTCAACACTTTAGGAAATGACTGGACTTAATAGAGACATGGAGAGCACTTTGCTCTGATAAAGGAGTTTACATACCAAATGTCACAATTAAGAAATCCCCTATGGCAGTGCATTGTTCATGACTTGTGAGAACTTTGTATGATGTGAAGAATTGCAAAATCTTTTATATCATACAAATTGAAAGTACAATAATGCACCATGTAAAAGAAGATTGTAAATGAATAGCCTGCTTTGCATAATTTTTGGAACTTATTTTACAGTCTTGTCAAGCTGATCTAGTCAAAGACAATGGACACAAATACTTTTTATCTGTGCTAGCTGATGGGTACATGCGGGTAAGTCAAATTCTTTTGTTACATCAGGTTATTTAAAAGTCTCTTAGTTAGCGTACATTGTAAAAATTGTGGTTTTTTTTTATTTCCTGTTTCAGGCAGAGGATCGAACAATGGCAGCATTTGTTCTGTCAGTGATTGTGAATGAATATCCAGTTGGTCAGGTGTGTAAAAGAAAATAAATATTTGTTCAATATATTAAAGTTCACATGGCAACCTGGTGGACAATCAGACATGGTTTGATGCTAATCTGGTTTAAATCTGTAAACCAGAGAAGCATCAAACCATGTCAAATATTTGTTCCTTGGTGGCATATGTGGGAACTTTACTTCTAAAAGGTTGCTCATTATAAAAGCTCTTTGGATCAATATCAGTATCTGGGCAACTGCCCACCTACCCCTCCCCTCCCCTAACCCAACATTAATCCTAACTTGTTTTCAATAGACTGTTGTTGGGTTAGGGGAGGGGTAGGTGGGCAGTTGCCTAGATACTGATATTGATCCAGCTCTTTTAACTCCCTTCCTCTCTGTCCTCCTCCTCCTCCTCCTCCTCCTCCTCCTCCTCCTCCTCCTCCTCCTCCTCCTCCCCCTCCTCCCCCTCCCCTAGAACAAAAACTGTAGCACTGTTATTCATTGGGACTGTTTTTAAGGACAGAGTTTTGTTTATGTAAAAAGGGAGGAGGGGGTGGGTAAGTTTCTAAATAAACTGCAGTGCTGCATCATAGGAATTATTACTAATTTAATCATTAATTAAATTTAATTCTCTATTGAAGACATACTATTTCAATGTGGCATGTCATAAGTGATATTTAGTTATATAGTTTTTATTCAAGGCCGAGTATTTAAATTTTTATCTTACATTTATATTTTATTTTATTATACTCTTTTTTTTTATTGTGCATTTGATCATATGCGCATGTAAAATGCGCGTTATAAACAATAAAGATTATTATCATTATTATTATTAATTATTATTACAAGATAATGTGGTTTTATCAACTGAGTTGATAATGTAAACTGGCCACAGTGTAGAGTTACCAAAGCTCAGGTTTCAAGCATTGGTCCCATATCAGCATCATTGTTAAAGGTTATGTTTGTTTTTCTGTCCCTAGGAAGCCTGTGTTCAAGGCAATTTAATTGCCATCTGTCTGGAGCAGCTGAATGATCCCCACCCTCTACTGCGACAGTGGCTTGCTATCTGTCTTGGTCGGGTGTGGTACCATTATGAAGCTGCCAGATGGTGTGCAGTAAGGGATAGTGCCCCAGACAAACTGTACTGCCTTCTTTCTGATCCTCTTCCAGAGGTAAGAGGCCTGGTGAAGTCTAGAAGATACTCATTTTGACCAACGTAGCAACTAGATACTTTTATCAATTGATTGAAAAGAATCAACATACATTTCGATAACCTACAAATTAAACGTAAGCCTTTAGGGCATCTCAAACCACTCAAACCAAAAGAACAAGTTCAACGGTTTTTTTGTTTGTTTATGGTGCAGTTTTTCATGCTATTTCTTTTCAACCAGATCTGAAAAAAAATTTTCACAACATTGGTAAAGGTGTCAAAATCCCACGAGTACTTGACATGATACGATCTTTGAGACACTACATGAAGGTCACGATTTTTAACCCTCCAAATTAAAACGTAAAGTCTTCAAGCACAACTTTTGCAAACTATTATCATCTTCTCCTTCCAGAGCCTTCTGAGTTCCTTATACTTCATTTTTTTACTTTCATTTATTTGTTACTGAACCGATATCTCTGCCTTTTCAAATTGAAACTTATCTTGCATGTAGTAAAAACAGACTCAAAACATCTTGTAAGCGCTCCTTTACTTAATTAGAGGATTATTTTCATCAAGGTACGCGCTGCAGCGGTGTTTGCCTTGGGACGATTTGTAGCCAACAGTGGGGACAGATCTGACCAAGCTAATCAGATTGACTTTGGAGTAGCCATGACTCTGACCCAACAGTCCTTGGATGGAAGTCCGCTCGTTAGAAAGGTATCTCGTCAATTTTCTCGCTAGTAAACCTGTTTACGAAAACCCTGTGGATCTCTCTTGAATGGAATCATCTCTCGATTTTATGTAGTAAAACCAAAACCAAATTAATCACGACAGCCGATCGGAAGAAAGGAAAATACCTTCTAGAGCCAATGAGAACTCAAAGTGAAAACGACCAAACTGCCTAAAGCGCGGGAAAACGCGGGTGACCAAGTTGTGATTGGTGTTAGTTTTGCTTCTGATTGGTTGAGTTGAATGTTCTTATCCAATCACAGGGTGAAATACAGCAAAACCAATGCAATCTCATTACTTGCAACAGTCAATCGAAAATTGTTCTAATCTAAGGGTTGCTTTGGTTATTTCAGGAACTGGTTGTCGCTCTCCACGGACTGGTGCTGCAGTTTGAAACCAACTTTGGCGTAGTGGCTCTGCAATTCTTAGAAGAAGACCGTCAAAGAGAGAATGCACCCCCAGCAGCGGCAATTACACCCAGTGGCTGGATTGTGGTCGGCTCTGGCCCTTCTTCAGGATTGGAGCCCATTACGCACATGAGCCCCAGCAGTGGAGTCAAGAACACCAAAGGAATACGCTCCAGCTTTTCAACGTCGAATCTCAATACTTTCGCTGCTAATCCTCCTGTTGTTAGTGGTGAGGAATTTTCAAACTTGTATCTCACTAGGACTTTTTGTTTCTTACAGAGGGCTGTGTTGTTAAAGGAGTATAGCGGTTTGCTTGCGAGAAGGCCCTCATAATTAGCACCGCAGGGCGCTCTTTTTTTCTGCCACGGGAAGATTTGAGACGAGTCGGGGAGAGGTTTGGCGGGGGTGTGGCACTAATAATAAGGCGCTGGACACCTTGCGGACCTCTCGCAGGCTCGTTTTACTCGAGGCCTCTTGCTTTCCGCCAATCACGAGTCCAGGATCATTTTGGCTCCTTGTTAGTGGTATGGTCGCCAATTCCGCGGGCAAAGAAACGTTGGTGTAACGCTAATAATGACGGCCATTTCGCATTCTAGAAAGTGGTTTGTTACGTCAGAGGTGACGAAAAATGTTTCAGGAAGGAGTAACCTGTTGAGGAATAGAAAAATGTCACGCTAAATTGTAAAGACGGCTTGGATCATTGCTGCAATATTCATCTTCTGCTATCTAATTGGTAACCTCCCCCCCACCCCACCCCCACGAAAAACGTTAATGTTGCTTAATTATCGCTGACGTGTAACTTTATTTAATGAGGGAAGGAGAGGGTAGGTGTCTCATTTATTTGTTTCATCTATAGAATAGAAAACATAATGGTATGATTACTTGAACAAAGTTTGGAGTAACCTGTTACTTGAACAAAGTTTAGCCGTTGTGTAACAAAACCGAGTCGTAGGTTTGGGTTAGACCTCGTTTAAATTATCGGCCCAGTATGTCTTAACTCTAAAACGTGGTTACAATTTTGTGTTTTACAGGCCAGCATATGTCATCGTCACTAATGACTTACAGTAGTAGTAGTGGCAGTTCTGGTAGCAATGATTTTCTTCCTGGCATGAAAGATCTGCGGCGGACAGGCTCACAAAATTCACTGTCTTCAAGCTTTCAGTCTAATGTTTATGCTAACGTATGGAAGGTAAGTATTTGGTTAATTGTAATTATCTGTTACTAGATAATTATGCCTAACGAAAGCAAATTATGTTTAATTTGCTTTTAACCATATCACGGCAAGCCAACGAATTGAAAGCAAGTGTAACTTTTGAAGGTTTCAATAAGCTCAAAAGTATCTCGATCTTTGATGTGTCAGTGGATGGTGAATGCTTGCTTAAGTTAACCCTTTTACTCCTAAGATAAATTCTCCCCCCCTGCTGTGACACATTTCCTTGTAAACTGGTGACAAGAATTTGGTGTTAGATCATGATGACAACTTCTACCTGATAAGTTTGAATATTCTCATTACCTGTTTGCTGAATAATGTATGGATATTATAGGGAGAAGTTTTATGTTAATCACTTCTGGGAGTTTAAGGGTTAATTCAAGATGAGACCAAATTTTTAAAGTTTCTGATGCAGGCTGGAAGCTCTCACATAAAGTGATCAATAAAATTTTGGCAGTTTTTTAATGCTCAACATGACGTTTGCATGACTTCGGTTTTGTTACTCTATTAGTTTCTTTTCCAGAATCACTGATGACTCTTTGGGTTCAGAGAAAAACTGATGAAATTGTTTGATTCTGCAGGCTCTGCTCAATCTGTCGGTTGATCCATTTGTGGGTGTTGCAGATCTCGCCAAAAAGATCGTAAATAGCATAACTTTGAAGGTTAGTTTGTATTACAAGCATTAATTTCGAAATGTGTGTCAATGTCAGTGTTAATATTGCATTGAAAAAGTATCTCCGGGTGTTAAACTTCCTGCTCGCTGGAACTGCTCTCTCTGCTGATTCTTTATTTTTGTCATTCATATTTTCCTATCAACCTTCTTGAGGTAAATGAAAGCTTTTTCTGTTACGAAGGCCACCATTGCTGCTTGCCCCAAAAGGATCGCACAGACGCCGTCATCCAGCCTTTCTACTTCTGCCCCGTCATCACCCGGGAGATTTCCGTACCACGCGGGGTCAGAGTGAGTGAAATTGAACAATCTTTACTGGGCGTTAAACTTTTTACGTTTTTCGATTATATGGCATAAACCCAAAAGCAGTATTTTTACAACGGCCAATAAGATAACAAGGAAAGTACCACAAGGAGCCGATGAACATTTGCAGTAACTAGACTGTGGTAGCGCAGGAAATTGAGAGTGATCACGTGACGATTGGCTGTAGTCTTACTTTTGATTGGTTAGAAAGGTCGCGCATGTCGACTGTGTTGTAAAACTGAAACCAAAGTAATCAGAAAAAAAGGAAGATACCTTTTAGTGCCAATGAAAAGTCAAAGTAAAAACAACCAAACTGCCAAAAGAGCGGGAAAAACGCGACTACCAAGTCGTGAGTGGTTTTAGTTTTGCATCTAATTGGTAGAGTGAGAGACGCGAATTTACTGGACCAATCACAGAGCGAAGTGATGCAAAAGCAAAGCAATCCCAGATAACTTTTGACACAGTTGAAAATTGCTCTAAACCAGCGTATTCTTTGAAACAATCAATCAAAAGTATTCATATTTATTGAGATCGGCTACTGTAGATCTTAAAGTTTTATAGCGTTCAGTTTTTAACTTGTTTGTTCCTTTTTGTTAATCTAGCCCGTGTATGTCTCCTCCCCCTCATAGCAACTCCAATGAAACGCCTCGTATAATGAAAATGGATCCTAACCAGTCCAAAGGCTCTAACCCCGGTCCCCTTGGGGCAGCATTTCCTCACTCTTACGAGTTCCATACAAAACGGAAAATGTTCGACAAAGGTCCTGAGGTGGGTTATGTGTGTCTTAAGTATTTAATTACGATTACCTTGTTGCTTGTATGACTTGGTCCCGGCATCGATTTGACGTTCAGAAAGATTATCAGTTTATGCGACGATAGTTAATTTCGATCTTCTGTTCATGTGCAACTGAATCCTTGAAAAAAAAAACTCAAGAGGTCATAACTACTCAAGGTACTTAAAGTGATGTGATGTGATAAACTTTATTTATTTAGGGAAGCTCGTTCAGCGACAAGGCTGGTATCCAGAGGGGCCTTGAAGTTGAAACTAATAATACTGTCTTACAATAAAAATTACTAAATCCATCTAACTAATATATTCCTAAAATTATATAAGGTACAATAAAAGATTTAAAAAATTCGTATGCAGTCCTATAGGTGATAAAATTTAAAATGGAAGTTTTAAAACTTATAGATTTTAAATCGATGCTTTAAAGTCTGCAAGGACTCAGCTTGCTTAGAGGCATAAGGCAAAGTATTTTAAAAAGTCGATCCTTGGTATCTAAAAGTTCTGTTTCCCATGCGTAGATTTGGTTTGGGCTGATAAATGTCGTCCTTCCTTCTTGCTTTATGTAAATGTCATTGGAGAGGTGGAGAAGATTAATCAGAATGGGAAATGATGAACTTGAAAATGTCGGCTTCATGTTTTCAAGGTGTTTAACCTTCCATGTTGCCCCTCCGGGTAGCCTTTCAACCGGCAATATTTTGATCTAATTTTTATCATCTTTTGATTTTTTTTTTACAGCATTCGAAACAGCCAAGTAGCGCAAGTGAAGATAACGACCAAGAATCCGACGAAGAAGCAGGCTCCTCCAAACCTCCAATGGTCACCACTAACTTTGCTGACTGGTGTGCCAGCTACTTTGCTCAATCTGTTACCAAGGTAATCCAGCTCAGACAAATGTGAAGCTGCCTTGTAGAGCAAAGGCCATTAAGGGTCTCCCTTCTCCACTTCTTCCTTTCCTGAACTTTCGAGTGTGGTCCAGGTGTGGCCAGCCCCAATTCTTCATCTCAGCCTAAACATGTTGCCGCTAGGTGTTTTTTGGGCGTCCTCTTTTCGTTCTGCCTTGGGGATTCCATTTCAAGGCTTGCCCAGTTGTACTGTAAGGCTGTCATGAGGGCAAGGATTCGACGCCGCAAATAAATTAACGAATCGTCTTAAAAATGCAGTTGATGAGTATGTTTTTGTTGTAGGTACCAGAGGAACATGATCCTCAAAGTCACCTGCACTTCGAAAGAGAGTGGAGATTTGAAAGAAACTCAAAAGTACGGTGGGAGGCGGCTAAACAACAAGCTAAAACAGGTAATATGCATACCAGCGCAACTTCAAATTGAGCGTCAAAAGTGATTCGAGACCTCTTTGGTTTTGCCATACTTTGTGTGTTAACATAATGTGGAGAATTTTGTTGTTAACCGTCCTTCGTTCTTTCAGCTTCAGGAAAAATTGATGATCAGATATTTGTTAATAAGAATGTGAGTGCGCCAGGGGTGTTGAGATTTCACCCGTATGAACCACACCTAGCTGTTGCTGATAGGGGTGGGGTGAGGTACGTATGTCAGTTTACTATCGGCACGATGTTTTCTCCTAGGCAGGAGAGGTACAGGCTAAGAAACTAAATTCCCCTCAGAGGTAGAAGTAAAAGTCAGTTCTTCTCAAGATGTTTTCAGTAATATTTACGTGAAGTTGAGGTGACTCTGCACTGTATCAATAGAGTATTTGTAACTTTGCAGAAAGATGAATGAAAATATTGAGTAGAATTCACTAATAGAATGAGGGGGTCGCCTAACTCGTTTTTGAGTTGCAGGCACATAAAATTATAATTTAGGGAGTTTCTAAGAGGCCGTAGTATTGCCATGGAAGCCTTACGTCAAGAATGTTCAACATTATTCGAAATTGTTAGGAATTTGTTTTCATTCTATTTGTAGCGGGACAAACGAAAAAAGTGTGGGGGCTTCGATCCATTGACGGATTGTTGTTTACAAAAAACACGAAACCATTTTTAGCCATTCCAAGGGGTCATCTGTGGCTCAGTGTGGTTTGGGAAAGATGTAGGAGAAAAACCATAATTTGCATGGGACCAAAATTGAAAATGTTTCCCTTTCTTGTTATTTTGCAGTATCTGGAATTGGGCGGAGGGAGTGAAAATAAACTACATTCCCAACAACAACCATAAAGTGTCGCGCATCACGAGCATGCAATTCCTCAACGCACATGACTTGACGCTGTTGTTAACAGGAACCGGTAAGGATTAAATTTATCCTCCCCTCCTCAGAACCGATTCCGACTGAGTTCTGAGTTGTCACTTTGCTGAAAAATGATCCAAGGTCACTTGCCCTTAACTGAAACGGAGTTGAATTAACTGTTTGTTTCTTTGTGTTAACAACTTTGTAGACGATGGCTCCGTACGAGTATGGGGAAATATCGAGGGAGAAAATTACGGCGACAAAAGTCTGGAAATGGTGACAGCATGGCAAGCTTTGTCCGGGATGCTTCCGTCCACTCGAGGTTTGTAAAAAAAAGTTGGTGTGATATCATGGTGAAAGTATTGAGATTATGCTTGTTAATAAGTTGAATTGGGTTGTTTTCGCCTTGTGACTGCTGAAGTTGGTTAAGATATAAAAAGTGAGCCTCTGAGAAGAGTCTTTTTTGGCTCTGACTCGCAATTTTTCTGTAGACCAACTACAGTTAGAGGAATAGCAAGTTGTCTTAGAAACAACCACACAAGCGAGTAAGTCGCGGAGTTTGAAAACCATATAAAATTGTTGATAAAATACAAAACGAAATGGTAAATTAGCGGGTAATCTGTAATTAAATAATCTTTGGGTACGAGAAGTCTCGAGTTTTCGTTTTCGTTTTCCTTGCTATCGTATCATTTAACAGATTTACATAAACGTTATGTTGTTTTTCCGTGATAGAGGTTGCGCGGGAAATTTGCGCGCGGCCGGCCAAAATTGATCCCGTTGCGCATGCCTTGCGTTTGACCGCTGTGATTCTTTCACTGGGCCGAGGGAGGGCAACATTTCGTCTACCCAAATTGTAGATCTTTCATAAAAGTGAAAATCGAAGGAATTCTTTGGTTGATTTGAATGCTGCTCCTGTTGCAGGAAGTGGTTCTGGTCTTGTCGTCGGCTGGGAACAGCAGACCGGCACCCTGCTAGCATCAGGTGATGTTAGGTTCATTCGAGTTTGGGACACTCATCGAGAGATGAGGATGCAGGTGAGTGTTTCAATGACGCGAATACGAGAAAGCAGTTTCATGTGTGTGCATGCCTGCGTATGCCTTGTGTTCTTCATTTAAAAATTGCCGTGGTTCTCGTTTAGAAAGTTACCTCTTGAGTACAAAGAATAGAGAAAAAGAGGTAAAGTTACAAAAGCTTCTAGAGAACTGACTTGAGTTTCCTTTCAGGTAAACAACCAATTAGTATAGTTTGACAACCGTCAACAGCAGAGCTTGAATGGGAAATTAAGGAAAGTTTTCTTTATTTTAGGACATTCCCACCGGTGCAGACAGCTGTGTGACGAGTTTAGCTTGTGATTCTGTGGGTAGATCGCTGCTAGTAGCTGGTTGTGGTGATGGGTCCGTCAGACTGTTTGATAGAAGATTGCCGCCCAGCGACAGGTAGAACATTTCTCCCTACAATATTAACATGAAGTTTCTTCTTTCATTATAAATACGTTACCAGACAGACATGTAGTGCAGGTCGAGAAACCGTCTCAGCTGTTAGCTAAGTAAAGAAGCAAACAGATTTTTTATTTCACCTTGTTCCACATTTTTTTGTTGTTGTTGTGGTTGTTGTCAATCTTAAAATGTTATTTTTGAGTGCTTTGGTCGCTCAGTCATAACAGTATCATTCTTTGTCTTGCAGCCGAGTAATGGCGCTTCGTGAGCATTTAGGCTGGGTTACTGGTGTTTTCTTACAGAAAGGTGGCGATGGGAACATCATAAGTGCAAGGTAAAAAGTAGATTTAAAATGTAGTTCCTCCTCAGTCGTCATTTCTTTTCTTCTCTCAGCGCCCTCCCTCCCCTCCCCCCTTCTCGGACGAAGCTCAACAAAGATTGCGAGCGAGGCTAGAGGCCATGCTATGAGAACGGAAAGTGAGTATTGCATGAGCGTACCTTTGATTCTAATTCAAAACTTAGGAAGGAATATCGTTTTCTTTTCTTGTTTACAGTGTCGCTGGAGACGTCAAATTTTGGGATCCGCGTTTCACAGAATCAGTGCGAACCCTGAGAACTATCGGTAATGCGGCGGCGTTCGAGGTTCACCAGCAAGCTAAAGTGTTCGCCACGTGAGTATTAGCAGCATTGGTCCAACATTGGTCCAACATTGGTCCAACATTTGTGTGAAAGTGTCGACAAAGGGTACTGCATCTTGTTTTTTTATAGCAAGATGAACTAGGGGAAAATGTAAGGAGGCAACTAAAATATTCCTTGGTATTGCACTAACTGCCTTTTCTTGACTTTGGAGAGATTAGCAATGACTTTTAACATCCGTTAATGGCTTCATATTAAAACTAAGGCAGGATTGCGCTAAGAGAATCAGTATGGAAAGCTCGACTTTTTTTGGGGGGGGGGGTGAGGGAGGATGAGGGGGATAGAGTGGGTAATTGCCTCAGACTGGGTAGCCTATGACAGACTGGCTTCTCTGTTTCAATTTGCCTCCTGCTATAAAAACTATTCTTGTTCCTCAACGACACAAGCGCATCTCTGAGTCAAAATGTCAGACTTAAATGTTAAACTCTTGCGAGAACACGCCATGAAAACACTGGCCCATTGTTTTATAATGGGTAAAAGATATGTTATTATTTTTTCCAGTGGTTCTGCAAGTCAAATGATCAAGGTATACAACCTGGACGGAGGGAACCTGAGTACCATAAGATATCACGACGGTTTTATGGGTCAGCGGATTGGTCCTATCAGCTGTCTTGAATTCCATCCGCACAGGGTAAGTGAAAACTGAATGTTTAGTGTAGAAGGTTGCGTGACAGACCTTAGCGACGATTGTGCGTAACCCTTTATTCAACAACAAAGGTATGCATATCCTCCATAGTGTTTCTTAAATATTTCCTCTGGTGCTGACAAGGAGAATTTGTTTAACAATCAAAAGCCTCTTTATTTTTGGTGAACATTTCTTTTCTTCTCATGGTCGTAGTGTTTGACATAGGGGTGATTTTGTAAGGAAAAGTTTTATGCTAATCACTCATAGAGATTAAAGGGTTAAGATTGATTCTGTTGATGATTTCAGGTCCATCTGGCCGCTGGCAGCACGGATTCTTTTATCTCGATCTACTCAACTGAGAAGACTGAAAAGAAGCGGTAGAAGAAAATTAAATATTTGTACATTGTTTTAAAAAATGGTGTAGATAGACGAGTGATGACCTCTTAAGAAAGGACTCAGATATTTGTTAATAGAGTGCTGAATTATCATTAACTAAGGAGAGGACAGGATGAAAGCTAATTTAAATTTTTATCGCGGCTGCAAGAAAGGTTGAAAGGCAAACTGGGAAACAAAAGACGTGGTTCGCCCTAGTCTCCCGTTTGTCCGCTCCGTCTGATCGTGTGGTTTACGTGGAAATCTCCGAAGGGTTAGTTTTGTTTTAAAATTGTAGTGTTGCAACCAAAAGAAATAACTTGTAAATTAAATTTACAGGAATCAAAATGATGCTGAAAACATCAGGTTAATGAAATTTGAATTTGTGTTCAAAATATATAAACATTTCTTTAGGTATTGAAAGATATAAATATGAAATTATTTCACGAAATTTACGGTATTTCCAGGACATATGGTAGTATATACCAAAATGCAAAATGACTTGACGTTGAAAAAAAATCCTATTCTCGCCATATATTTTATACAAAACATATCACTTGGAGAAACCACATATATTTCCTCAATTTCTACAACTTGAGTATTGTTGGAATCGAGTAATGAGTTCATGTTTTACTCGTTTTTAAGAAAAATTGTGTTTATGTCTCTTAGCCTTAAGGTAGCAACCAGTATCATCATTCTGTTTGCCTGCATTTCACGCGTTATGTTGCTGGGAGAAGAAAATTTTTATTCATTGATTATCAGCTTTTTACCTTAACAGGAAATAGAAGGACGATTGTAGAGGATTTGACAAATTCGGTATTGTTTTTGTTGTTGTTGTTATTTTTCAATCCTTAAACGGTCCCGAAGTGATAATATATATTTCCTCCTCACAATATCGATACATTACCCAGTAGGAGCTACTAAGAGTTGCAAAACTTATCCACTTATCTTTATGTGACACTTAATCCTTCTTACCACAATACATGGAGAATAGCTGAGCAGTTCCCTGGAATGAAAGGGTTAATTATTTTTGGTATTTTACTCGAAGAAGGCAAAGAGATGCTGGGCATTAACCCTTTAACTCCCATGAGTGACCAATACAGAATTTCTCATTACAATATCAAGACAATATCAATCAGGCAAGTGATGAGAATGAGGAAAAATATCAATTTAAGGACTATAATCTTGATCCAATACCAAATTCTCTAAAGTAACATCATAATAATTATATAGCAGACAGTAAAGAGAATTACTGATGAGATCATGGGAGTGAAAGGGTTAAAGGTCAAGATCTTGGAAAAATGACCTTAATGAATGTACACTACCTGTACGGTACACCTACGTATTGAGATTTAAAATGAAACCTTGGAAAAATGTAAAGGAAATGACAGTGGGGGAGTCTAGGGTTACACTGCAAAGCTTTTCCTAGCTATTGTGGCAATGAGAACTTTTATTGTAGTTTGTTGCCGACAGTTTAGAGTGGCAGCGTCGTATGTGTTTGGTGAAAAGTGGTGCGGGAAATGCAATTTCGTTTCCAGGGCCTTTTCTCCATTCAGCGGAGCTGTTTCCGCAGAGCTCTGTTCAAAACCGAATATTTAACTTGCATGTTATTGGTGGGTAAAAATCGTGGCTTTGTGAACGAGATTGAGTGCAACTTTGCTGGCGAGAGTTGGCGTTCTATGCGCTACTGTTAAGGCAGTTTAGTGTACATTTTCAGAAAACTGTTGTTCAGTTGAGAAATGTTTTACTATTCATAGAAGGAAAAAGCATCGACAATTCTAATAACGTAGTCGCGGGATGTGCGCATGTAGACATCAGGTTCATCTTTCATAATTGTATTTTTGTACATAGGGCTATTTTTAAAATAAAATGAAGTACTGATAATTATTTATTATCCATAATACGAATTGTAATGTCTTTTTTTCACTAAATAAATAGCCTCTTTTTGTGATGTATCATTCAATGATGTATTGTTGCTTCTTGTGATGTCTTCTTGTAAATGTAAAGTGATTCAAGTTAGAGGGCGTTTAGTGTTTTTGTTTAACACCGCAGTTTATATGGTAAAACACTATCCAAAACCGGTCTCAATAGATGAAAATATTTTACAAAGAAAAATATCTCGAAGAGAATTTTCCACAGCTTATTTCCTTTTGTTTGATTTTCTGTGTTCTTTTTATGTATCTCGTTACTCGTCGATCACTTGATTTGTCTGCTTCCGCGGGCAATGAAAATTATCATCATTTACATATTTAGTAAAAATTATCCTGTTATAAGAGGGTACGACATGATGTTTTAAACTTCTCGCCATCGGCTTACAGCTGTTTGTGCGTCAAAGCGAAAATGTTTGCATCAGCCGTTTGCAAGTAACTTTTGGCTATTTTTCCTCAATTTCATTTCCGATACATACGAAACTTAGATAAATAGATAGATCTATAGCAGTTCCTTTACTTTTTGCCTGGTTTGCCGTTGGCGTTAACAGCATCGTCGATCTCATTATTGTCTTTGTTGACGTAAGTTTACCTTCATTGTGATATAATAGGAAACAAAATGCTTAGGGTTAGGGGTTAGGGGTTAGTTTGGTTTAGTTAATTTGTGACCGAAGTTAAGAAAAGCATTATCAGAAAAAAAAAGTTTAAATGTCCAATAAAAAGGGGGAAAGAAAGTTTCAAACTTTAGTCTACTAGGTGTTACGCTATCAACCGCTAATCAAACAGACACAAATTTCTCAGCTTTTTTCAATCAACTTTTAAATTACATGTGCTAAACTGAAACAGATAGTGGTTAAATTAAACTACTGCAAATTATCATATGAAAGGTGCTTATTTCGATATTCAGTAGTTTGACTTTATGTGTACTTTCACATTTTAGTGCTTTTAATTTTTCGCGCGGGCGCGGCTGGGGCCCCGTGGTCTACTGATATTTTAAATTTCTTGGGAGTTCAGTTTTAAGCTGTCAGGAAAGAAGCAGAATACCCTAATACGCTTGCTTCAGCTGTCATCTTCTGGAGATACACTTCTTCATAACGTTCAGGCCAAGATCCAACAGCACCAATTTCGCTGCCATTCGTGTACGTCAGTAACTGGGAAATATGGCCACAGCTGTTCACTTCTTCAATTGCCAGTACCCAGACCCAGTCCCCACTCTAAACTATGCTCGTCCTTAACTCCTTTATCGTTGATGATGTTTCTCTAATGGCAAATGAGTTCCAATCTTGGGAATACTGCGATCCATTTTGTGTAAAAGAGCTCGTTCAAGTACTGAGCAGACTCTTAAAAAGCGAGTTACATCCTCTCGACTTATTTAGGCGAACCTATTTCCTTTGATTTGAATTCAGCATAAACGTCATAATGAATCAGTAGGCATTAGTTGATCATAATTTTCCCTCTGATATTTATCAATGCTGTGCTATTTAACGTCATTAAAGAAAATTTTTGCGTTTTTCAAAAATTTGTCCGCCGATACGTATATTCTAGAAATTTAATGATTTCCTCAATTTCCTCTGGGAATCATCAACCGTGACGAATGCACCGCGCCAGGACCATAAGGTCGCACATGTTCAACATTTGCATATTTTGTTTCAGAAGACAAAACAAGGTTTGTAGCTGCTGCCTCTTGTGTAGTATACGCGCTGTAATGCCATGTTCGTAATCATATTCACTAAACTCTCGGTCTCTTTAATAGGTGTAGCCGAGAAATTTTGATAAATCGCTTGAAGTTTAGAAAGCAAGTGTTGCTGCTCGCTTGCCGAGACATTCCGAGTCAAACTACATTCATACAGGAGAAGGATAAAATTAAACATTGGTTTAGAGCTCGAGGTAAGTGTTTTGTACAGGAAGGAAATTTCTTTATCTCATGTCATCCATTGCTGATCAAGAAAGGTTTTTCGAACAGAATGAGAAAATGTTCACTTGGAATTTCACAGTCGGTAGAAATTCTACCTAACAGGTTCGAGCTGTCGCGTGAGTTCTGTCTCAGAATTCTATATTTGGGTTATCGATTCTGAGGGGAGCTCCATTGTAGAGGATTCGTAGGTGACTCACACGCGGAATTGATTTATTGCGATAAGCTTCGATAGTGGTGACGAACGAACCTATTACCGGGATCGGACTTAAAACAACTTTTTACTCCTCTGAAGATGACTTCCACCTAGATTCTCGAAACGTCCGTCTAGGGACCGTCAGAACGGCTACGGTATGGGAAAACGTCGATTAAAAATTAAATTCTTAACTAACTTATTTAGAATTTTGCGAAAAGATCGAGATATCTGTCGTTTCTTACGGCGCCTTACCTTAACTTAAGCGTTACATGGGAGCTAGCGAAGCGTAGAGTTCCAAATAAAAACGTAAATAATTCATCGTCTTAATTACCGTCACAAGACCACGCAAAGTTTGACGATTTCCTGAGGACGGCTTAGAATTGTACAAAGTTTCAAAACGCACCAGTCGAGCTATTTTTCTTGTCCATAAGATCTCCTCTTTTGGCATGTTCTCGTTGTTGTCGCCATCTTGGTTTCACTTAAGGTTCCCAGTGCTGCAGTTTACTATTGCCGACAACAGTCGTTCTCAGGAATACTCTCACCGCACAATCAGATTGCACGATCAAAAGAATTCACTTCTTGTTCAGCCGAAGTCAGTAAATGTTTTGGTTTCCGTTTCGTGGCATTGTTTTCAGTGGGGTATAATTTCCGTGAATCGAGGACTGTATAGTTTGAGTAGCTGGCGGTTTTTTCATGCGTTCAAGCGTCCAGCGGCAGAGCCGTTAATAAAAAGAAGCACGCGAAGCCGCGAGAGGTTTTGGACAGAGTCTCTCTTCATAACTGTTCTATTAAACGCTTTCCAAACTATTTTGTGTTTTCCAAAATAGCGTTTTCCGCCAAAAATGGCTTATTTAGGAGTAAAATTAGTGTCAATTCCGCAAAAATACGTTGAATAACACCTTTTTTTTAAAGACCTAGAGGGAGGGTGACCTCAAAGTAGCACTATCTAGGCAGAAAGCACGGAAATGTCTCATAAATGATAGCACCAGAAAGACTTCGATTTTCACGGAGGAAGGAAAAGAGTCGTTTCAAAAGGGCAAAACTTTGTTTAATTCCACGGACAGTTAAATGTCGAGGCATTTTACCCATACAAATATTCCATTTTCCACTGCATGGTCTGTTAAACATGGTGAAAGTGCCCAAAATTATCTGAACGTTTAATATATGAACAATAAAGTCTATGATTTTAACATAATATTTAAAAAATCTGATAACCTGGTTTATTTAAAATTCTGCATTGGATAACGTCAAATGCAGCAGAAATTCTGCGCGATGTAACGTCAAGCGCTGCAGAAATTCTGCTCGATGAAACGTCAAGTGCTGCAGAAATTCTGCACGATGTAACGTCAAGTGCTGCAGAAATTCTGCACGGTGTACCGTCAAGTGCTGCAGAAATTCTGCACGATGTAACGTCAAGTGCTGCAGAAATTCTGCACGATGTAACGTCAAGTGTTGCAGAAATTCTGCACGGTGTAACGTCAAGTGCTGCAGAAACTCTGCACGATTTACCGTCAAGTGTTGCAGAAATTCTGCACGATTTAACGTCAAGTGCTGCAGAAATTCTGCACGCTGTAACGTCAAGTGTTGCAGAAATTCTGCACGATGAAACGTCAAGTGCTGCAGAAATTCTGCAGGGTGTAACGTCAAGTGTTGCAGAAATTCTGCACGATGAAACGTCAAGTGCTGCAGAAATTCTGCACGATGTACCGTCAAGTGCTGCAGAAATTCTGCACGCTGTAACGTCAAGTGTTGCAGAAATTCTGCACGCTGTAACGTCAAGTGCTGCAGAAATTCTGCACCATGTTATGTGTAGTGTTGAAGAAATTCTGCAGTAGTTTCAGATAGGAAATTTTAAGGGTCCTAATCTATACCGTCATTTTCAACTCTAGTTTTTTAATGTCAACAATACTCTTCATCCTGACGCTTTTTCCATGCTTTTAAATAAAACAAGTGAAATGAACCTCACGATTGGAATCTAAGGGCTCCCAACGGGACCCATAGCTTTAATGAGTAGGTAATTCAAATTACAAATCAGACTTACACTCAAAAAAAATTTTTGATAACATAAACTTTGTCAATTGAATTGTTTACTAACTAGTAGATTGTCATTGACATATAAACTAGGAAGATACAAGACTACAAATTTTAGTCTCTATCGCTGCCTGTTCGGAAGGCAAAGCGGTACTGTCTATCCTAACTGCGCTTCGCCCTTTCCTCAACGCAGCCACCATTGCATAGCCATTGGGGGTTCCAGCATCAATAATCACGTCCCCTTCTCTGGAGAGGTTTTCTACAAGCCATGTGTAGCCTTGTGCTGGGAATGAATTCAGGAAAATCAAATTTTCTTTACTGGCGGACAAATGTCTCGAGGTTATTTGCCTTGAGACAGACCAGTGTCCAACTACAAAGGTTTCCAAGGCTTCCTGTAAATACGGACCTAAAAAAATTAAAATGAGTATCAACAATATGATATATGCGTATTATACACTTACTAATTTCTTTCGACACTGCTGGAACGTTTTAATTCACCAAACCTTATTATAAATTGTGCATGTAATACGCTCTCAATGAGAAAGTTTAAACAAGTTCAGATTATAGAATCATGATATATATTTTTGTTAACTCTACAAGTACATCAAATAATTCAATTCTGTTGACTATGAGGTTTTTAAAACTTTCTTCTGAGGACAGTTGTTTAATTCTAGAAGTATCTTACCTTGTGCTGTAGTTGGAGGTTTATTTTGGACGTAAAAGTAGCCATGCTGTGCCAGAGTAGCGCCCTCTTTTAGCATTTTTTCTTTTAGATTTTTTACACCTTCAACCATTGTAAATAAAACAATGTTAAATGATGTAAGCTTGCAGAAATTAATGCGGGAAACAGTGCTAATTACATCATCAGCATTCTGTGAAGAGAAAAATATGAGTCGTAATAAGTAAATGCAAACAACTAAAAGTTATCCACAAAAAACAGGATTTGATTAGGATTGTAGTAAAATCCTGCATGTATTCGTTAAAGGCGATTTTTCCGTGCCGTTCTCAGCCTAACTGGAACGTAACATGATTTTTTATCATAAAAATGAAGTAAATGTTCATATTAAGTTCATTTAACTTAACTTATAACATTTCCCGGTTAAAATGAAACTTTTCGGAAAATTAAAACAACGGAAGGCGACAAGAAACATAACGTCTTATGCTAACAAGGGCAATTAAAATAACAATGCCTCGTCACTTAATTCATTTCTTTCCAAGTCACTCGATAGTCGAACGGTTGCGGGAGAGTCTCACCTAGATTTTTATCTTACCTCGCACTGCTCCCCTGCTTCAACTATGGTTAAAAACGCTCCCTCGTAATGTGGTAACTTTGCCAGATCGCTTTGTTGTACGTCTAACTGGCTGTTGCTAAATACTACGAGCCCAAATGTTCACAGATCCAAACCGATACGCGCCCCGTGAATTTATTGGAGTGAATTCGAGCTGAAAGAAGAATTGATGATAGATTTTAGGCTTACAGTGAATTGATACATCAGTAATTTAGCCATAACCTGGATTGAATGGGAATTTAGAGTCCAATGTCAGCAATAAATGTATACTGTATACTTTAAATCACCTTGAGTTTCTTCTTGGGAGGTGATGCTCCAGATTCGAATTCGAACTGAATTTTATGTAAAAGGAAAGATTGTGTGTAGGAAAGCATGGCTTCTTGCACACAATTTAAATAAGGAAACCTTTAAACGAATTTGGGGAAAATTTAAAGATGGTGCAAATGTGCTGGAGCATGGGAATAAAGGAAGGAAGTCAATCACTAGCAAGACTGCAGATTGCATTGCCTGGTTGCAGTTTTTTGTTAGCTGTGTAGGGGACCACCAACCAGACAATGGTGGCATCCATTTACCAACATGCTTTACTAAAAGTGACATTTACAAAAAAATGCTGGAGGAAAATAAAGCACTCAGTCAGCCAACAGTATCCCTTTCTCATTTTTATGGCCTATGGGAAAGGAATTTTCTTCATGTCACCATTCCCAAGGTAAGTGGCACCAAATATGCAATAGTTTTCAGTATGATGATGACTAACACTTACAGGTGTGTGTATTTTATAAACCATTTATGTAATAATATCATTGCTGTTCCAATACATTAATTTGACAATGGCACCCAAAGAGAACATGAAAATGTGTTAAATATGGAAACCTAGATAGCAAAATAGGGGGCCCAGTAGGTCATGACCACCTCTTATCCAACAATCATGAGTGAAAAAAGTTTTATTTTGTGGCTTTGTTTGGTCTGTAAACTGCTGAGATGAACCATGCCTAGTTTTTTTTCATGTTATACCTCATACATGCAGAAATGATCTATCAATTTGAATCTTCTAGGAAAATCGCTTTACAAAATGCACAGACTGCACAAAATACAAGCAGGAGAAAGAGAAAACTGTGGACAAAGCCAGAAGGGCTGAAATTGATCACTTGCTGAAGCTTCATCTTGATTTAGTCTGGTGAGAGAAATGTTTAAAAAAGTACAGTTAGTTTGATGAACAAAAAATCTGTCACATCAAAAGCAATTCACTAGTCTTCTGGTCTTAAGAACTAATAATAATTTTTCCTTATATCACTAGGCAGGAAAGGAGGGTGTACTATCTTCACAGGTATAAAGCCAGGAGGTACCCATCAAAGTATGTGGCAAATATTGCTGATGGTATGGACCAACACACCACAAATGTCCCAAGTGTGCGCCGAATTACCAAGGCAATGTCTGCACTTACGACTGTGGGAACACACCTTGTTGGTTCCATTATTCACAATGGACAAGCACAAAATGGAAAGGAGATTTATGGGTCATTTGACTACTACCAGTATCCTCATGACTCTAATCTCACTATGACAGTTCTGTTGGAAGTCCTTGTAAGATGGTCGGAGGAATTTGACCTACCACCCATTCTCTATCTGCAGTTTGACAACTGTGTTAGAGAAAACAAACCGCTACATGTTTGCTCTATTGGCACTTCTGGTTGAAGAGAAAATTTTTGAAAAAGTATGTTATCTTGGGTAATTTTAAAAGAAATGCATTTGCCTTATTCACATTTCCCACAAAGCACTTTGTTCAAGTGTCAAAATGTCCCATTGCAATGTTTTCAAGGTCCATTTGGGTGGGAAGTTAGTTTCCATTCAATCTCAATTTTTGCAACTACTGAATGAATGTAACCTGAAGTTGAAATTAAAAAAAAACAACACCACTTCCCCTTCTTGTATTTCAGATAAGAGTTAACTTTCTCCCAGTGGGACATACCCATGAGGACATAGATGCCTTTTTTGGGGTTTATTCAAAGCACTTAGACAAACTGGATGTTTACACAGTCACAGGTAAGTTGTTCTAACATAAAGTAATTACTTCAAGGTACAGTTGGAGTAACTGAGAGGTTCAACAATCAAAACTGCCTGTGCAGTGTGATAATCTTGTGTGGCAAATATTCACATAAGTTATCTATCAATATAAATACATAGCAACTAGCACTGTGATCAAACAAATTTCTGCACGAGGCAAGAGCATGGTTCAAAATTTAGTCTATAGAAAGTATGAACACTTCCACTTGAATTAACAGATTAAATGTGACATTGACATGTTATAAATTTGGTGTAAATGTTTATTTACAGAGTACATGTAAGATCTTAATTTAATTTACACTTCACTGTCACTTAGAATTACTGAAGGCACTGGAAACATGCATGAAGAATCCAACACCCAAGCCCTATATGCTCAAGATGGTTTATGACATAAAATCATGGATTAGTGATTATTGTGAGGAGTTACATGAACACACAGTTCCAAAGTGCTTTAAATTTACATTGAATGAGGATGGAAAAGCAGTTATGCACTACAGAAATTGGAGCCATGAGCCATGGAAAGAGCCCATTGCAATGCTGAAGGTTAGCACATGAAATTCTTAATTAGTGGTTCCTGAGTCATAGTTAAAATAGTAACTTAAAAGCTTACCTGATGTTTTCTGAAGTAGCATTGGCACTGACAATTTGTAGGCCTGAAAAATAACATTAATGCTCCAAATAACTGAATGTTTGCTGACATTACATGTTAAGAATATGCTGGGTTTAAATTGATCCTCAATTTAAAATGTATCTCACTGCTTTTCCCTGTCTTTAAGATTGGGATCATAATGTGTACAAGTCAAAGAAGAATTAAATGGAAAGAGAAAGCCCTTATTATTGTCTCTCAAGGAAATTTGAGCCAACAAATACATTGCTAGACATGGTTTGATGCTACTCTGGTTTAAAGATTAATTTTGTTGAATTTAACAGATAAGTTACAATTATTTAATATTTAAACCAGAATAAAATCAAACCATGTTTGATTGTTCACCTGGCTGCCTTGTGAGGTTTAATATATCAAATTCATTGTTGCCTTTTTTTGCTATACTAGAGTTTACCCTCTGGAAAGCCAAATACTGTGACTCCTTCCCTACATAAACTGGACATGGAGGGATTGAAGAGAGATATTCCCACCAAATATCCCAAGAATATGCCCTTAAAAGCATCTGAAGAGTGGGAATCCTGGTTAGCAATACAGAGTTTAATCTATTATCAGTACCTGACAACTACACTTGGCCAGTGGATAAATTGAAGAATACTTCAAGGACTGTTTTAGCCTCAAATGCTGAACTCCCTCATGAACTTTTAGAGCTCAGAGAGAAAGAGATCCAGCCTATCACAGAGGTGAATAATAATTAAAATGCAGCAGTGGACACTAAAAAGCCAAGCCTTCAAATGGTCCTACAGATATAAAAGAGAAATAATTAGAGGGGTCCATTCCTCTAACCCCTTCTGCGTCCAGTTATAGATTATACAAGTCCAACTTTAGATATATAATAATGTACATGATAAAATTACATGCTTCTGATTTGCTGAAAACAAGCCAATTCTCATGTAGCACAAATGCAAAGTTGCAACATGAGTCCAAATTACAAATAGGGCAAACACACTTTCAAAATTTTGTCTGCACATTGTTCTTGCAATTTGGTCTACTAAGCACTTGTAATTTTTCAAATACCACGAAATTGCACTTGCCCTTCAGGCTCGTGCAAAAATTTTGTTGTCTTTGGAAACTTATTTGTGCTTATTCACACCAAATTGCACTAATAGAATATGACACGGTCACATAATCCATTACTTATAATTAATCAAAGAATAAAATGATAAGAACAATTGATAATTGATACATCTCAGTCGAAATGCTCACCTAAACAAGTAAATTCTAATGAAATGTCTGTTGAATATTTCAGATTTACACAGGCCGTTACAGGACCCCGAGGGAAAGGGAAGCGCCTATTGAAATGGTAGACGATTTCCTCGCTACTCTTCAAGTCAGCTGCTTTGTGGCTTTGTACTTCGCCAATTACGATAAACTGCCCTGCATTGGCAAGGTCCTGGCCGTCGAGGAGGACAATTTTAAGGTGCATTACTGGAAAGGCACTTACTGTGGAAAGTGGACTCCTCAGCATGTTCCCCGACAAAAATCCAGACCATGGGTGGAGATCCTTCCTAAGAGCTGTATAGTGTGCAGTTCATTTGAGCTTACGGAAGACAACAAGCTAATGCCATCAACAAGAAAATTTCTCAAGGAAAGATATGTTGCTTTGAGGACAATTCAATCTTGAGTTTTTTCCTTTACGCCATTCCTTTCTGAAATTGGGCTTAGTTATTTGTGTAAAATTACATAGAGTGTCGTGACACATGCGTAGTAACGTTGCTTTAGAACACGCATGTACTGGAATTGCGGTTTAATGACTTGTGTGTTGCTCAGTGGCCTCTGCCTATGTGGAGTTTACAATTAATTCTCTATAAGTTACAGAGTCGAGTTAAGTTCAAAGCTAGGTATTCTTTTTGCTTTGACACTGTTCAGCAAGATGTGGTAAATGAATCCACCTACATCGATGAAGTCTTTTATCGATCGAGTCGTATCCAGTTGCCACTCTGTGAGGAAAATATATTTATTTATGGATGTTTATTTAGCAATCGATTTCAACCCGAGTCTCTCATCTCGAGGCCGTAGGTAGGACATATATATAGATATATAAGAAACCAAAATTTTTTTCCCTCGATGTCGAATTTTCTAAGCCACCGTGTATTGAAACTACTGAAATGTAGCATGGATTTATTGTAACTTAACTCTCCATCCATAAGGCCTCAAGGGCTTTCATTACAGGGTAGGGTAAATGCAAGATAAAAATAAGAAATTTTTTATTAGTTGTAATTTTTACATATGTTTTTGAGATGGTTCAAAGGAATGGCAGTATAAC